TGCCGTGTTGAGGCTACCAAAGTACCTGTACTAGCTGCTTGCGCTTTTCCCTTCGAAGAGCGGAAGACTCGGGACGAGGTACGCGCCGCGTCTACATCTCGTTCGGGCCTGACCTGAGAGGCTGAGACCCACGTACCGAGACCAAGGGTGGGCAACCGAGCGCCGGTGTTCAAGGTGACATACTTCGAAGCAGGCATTGTGCGGACGAGCAAGTGCCGGACGTAGATGGCCCTGAGCGGGGAAAGTAGACGGGAGTGGCAATCAGGGCTTTCGTCTAGATGGACGAGATGTATGGGGAGATTCCCCTTCATTCCTCGCGGGGGTAGCACCTAGCCGTTCGAGTCAATGGCCGCTGACGATGGCAGTGATTCCCGACCAACCGGGGGAGGGAGGGCTTTGTCACTGCACAAAAGTGGCTCATTATTAAGATTGTTGGTCAGCATCCGCAGCGTCTCGCACCTTCTCTCGAGTTACCGTGACGTCGATTGAAGGCCTAAAAACACTCGAAGTCTTGAACCACGTCGTGATCTTGATAGGCTCTATACGAATCTTGGGCACTGCCAACGCCCGTGAGCGGAAGCGCATACCTGTTCACGGCCGCACTGTCTCTCGTCGTAACGAGGTCCCCTGTATGAACTGCTTGCTCAGTCGAGGAGTTGGGTGTTAGATACGAGCCGCGAAACGCCGTGTTCTCGAATGGAGCAACATGGACAAATGATCCAGCATACAGCTCGAGCTTCCTAGTTTCCCGGGTTGACGGTGTTTGGTAGATGAATGGGAGGTAGCCACCACACGCTGCCCGACGTCATAGCGACTTCCTCTTGCTCGAATACTATAGCATGGATCTTGCGCCAGTCGGCCCTTACTATCCTCGCGAGAATGACCTGTACCTCCGAGTATCGCGGCAGCACAAATTGCGTAGCTGTCGACCACAGAACGAGGGCATCCATGAAACAGAGGTCGGTGACTCGGAGCTCGAAGCATAGCGCTAGTGGCGGCGGACTCGGGAAGTGCGCAAGAAGCGCACACAGGGTTACGAAAGCGGCTCGCACCCGAGGATGAGTCGAACTCATGACCATGTCAAGTACTGTCCACTCGGTGTCGCAACTGGAATCGGGTTTAGTCCAGCAGGCAACATCACTCACCTTCGATGCCAGTGCATGGTCCGCGGGTAGCATTGAACTCTACCACACTGCAGGTCAAGCCCTGGATCGACGCGTCTCTTCTAGGTCATCGCACAATTGCTTCTTCTGCTGCGGATTCTGTGGTTGCTACCGCAAGTTCAGGCTGGTCCGATCAAGCTCGAAGTCGCTATACATGGGACACTGCTGATCAGCTCACACATTATGCTACAGCACATCGCTTGCACTGCTTACACTCCAAATTTTGAAGACGTCCGCGGACAGCCAGCTGTATTAGGGTAGTCTTGCTGTGAGAGTGGAACTGAGCCGCATTAGCATCAACTCTGGAACTGTAAGCCAGCAACCAATAGGCGAGAACAAGTACCCACCACTCGAAGGCAACTCACGGCAGGCGCAACTTTGAGACAGCTCATTAGAAGTGCCTCGGGTCCATCATGTCGCCGTCAAATGCAAAGTACAATTGTGTCGCTGGGATAGTTGTGGTCCAGTTCATCCGAACTCATGGTGCAATGCCCTTCACAAGAGCCACCACCGACTACACGGGCTGCTTCTTGCTATGTGCCGGGTCCCTGCGCATCGAGGGCACTGCTGGACCCGAGAGGGTTGACTGGGCCTCTGGGATACAGCATCCCGCTTTACTCACCGTCGTACACTGGGTCGCGCTGCAAGACCAAGGATTCCGCCACCCTGACATATGGACACCGGCCGTCGAATAGAAGGTCCAGAGACGACCGTGAACAGCGCGAAGACCACGAGTTTCATCTGCAACACATACTCAACTGTCGGGCACGAACATGTCGAACGCAAGCAGTATCGACGACACTGCGCCCAAGGTCATACTGAACAAATTCGAGCGTGTCAGCGATACTGTGGGCTGTATAGTGTCGACTTCGTACCTTTGTGTTACAGTACCCATTATTGCGGCAGTGGGGGTTGGAGAACCCGGTCGAGTAGGTTCATGGGCAGCTGAACCGCGATTTGGCGTTTGGCCACGTGTAGCCCCATCGCATTGGCATCACGTAGGTATGGCGAATCCTGTCATTTGCAGACTTCAGTAGATCGGGTCCTTCTGCCATGATGAAGGACGTCGCGGATGTGTCGCCGACTTGCAGCCACATCATGATTGCAGTCCCCGTGATTTTGCGTGGTTCGGTACGCAACATTGCGAGTATAAGGCACTACTTTCCATACAGGAGAAGAATCCAATGCCGTCGCCACCCAGCGATGCATCGATGAGTTTGAAGAGAGGTGAGGAGGGGGCCTTGAGCTTGAGGGGGCAAGAGCTCGTGTTATTGCTGGCGTGACCGTGACATAATCGCGTTGTGTAACGCCCAAGTGACGCCTAGTCGCAACGGATCCCTCCTCCCTGAGGCCTGAGTCCCTCCTCCTGATGGTGAGACCCGAATGATCTCTCCACTGAGTACTAAATATTACTGAACGCTGCATGCTGATCACCGTATATGCGCCATTTTAATCGCCTACCTCGCACCTACTACTCGAAGGCACCATACCGGGCCTGAAGGCCAGACCTCCAGTCAACGGCTCGGACCCATACTTCCTACCATACACGCTGCAGCTTTGTTTACATACAGAGGACTCGGCACTCGCAGGCAATAACAGGATTAAATTAAAACCCTACAGAAGCACCAAGAAGACCACGCCGCCAGCAGGAGCAGGAGCGCGGCTCACTACTTGCAGTCCGCGAAGCCGATGTCGCCGTAGCCCGTCCAGAACGGCTTGCACACGCGGCGCAGGCCCTCCTTCTCGATGTCGAACAGCGTCTGGACCTCCTCCGGCGCGAGGTCGACGATCTTCATGTTCGCGACGATCCGCTCGGGCGTCACCGACTTCGGGATCACTGCACACACACAGCGTCACGTCAGAACAAACCGGAGGGTACAGGGAAGGGACACTGCACGCACCGTTCACACCGGGGCGGTTCGCGTGGAAGGAGACGAGGATGTTGTGCGGCGTGACGCCGTGCTTCGCCGCGATCTCGTTCACGACGGGGTGCGCGCCGAGCGGGGCGTTGTCCGAGCCGAGCGGGGAGTACGCCGTGACCACGATGCCCTTCTCCCTGCACAGAGCGACGAGCGGCTCCTGCGTCAGGCTCGGGTGGCTTTCGAGCTGGTTGACCGCGGGCACGACGGACGCGACCTTCAAGAGCTCCCCGAGGAACGGCGCGCTCACGTTGCTCACGCCGATCGCGCGCACCTTGTCCGGGTGCGCTTTGAACACGGCCTCCATGCCCTTCCACGTGTCGAGCCAGTTGAGCGTGCGGTCGGGCTTGCCGCCCTTCATCGGGCACGGCCAGTGCATCAGCCAGAGGTCGAGGTACGGCGTCTCGAGCGCGGCGAGCGACTTGTGGAGCCCCGCGAGCGGGTCGGCGTGCTCGGAGTTGTTGAGTTTCGTCGTGAGGAAGATCTCCTCGCGCGGTACGCCGGAGCGCTTGATGCCCTCGCCGACTTCGCGCTCGTTGGCTGGTCCGGGTGTGCGGTTAGACGGGTCGCAGGCAGATGAGCGGGAGGAGCGCACCGTATGCTTGCGCGGTGTCGATGTGCCTGTAGCCGTTTTTGAGCGCGACCTCAACAGCCTTCTCTACCGCACCCGGAGCAGATTTCCATGTCCCTGTTACGGAGATCGCGCGTTAGTCTTCGCATTGACTTGGGGAGGCTCTGTAAGCGAGGCGCGGACGCGTCTCGCACTCCGTCTGCCTGGGTTTTCGTTCACTGGGACTTTTCACCACGCCTACGCGGACAACGCGACCTGGATATATGCGGTGCTCGTCGGACGAAGCGCGACACGCGTCTGTGTCTCGTCCTGCGAGCGGGCCGGGCCTGAGAGACACATACCGAGACCAAAGGTGGGCATCTGAGCACCAGTGTTGAGCGTGACATACTTTGAGGCAGGCATTTTGTGGATTGGACAATTTCAGAGGTAGATAGAGTCGAGCGAGGCGAGTGTGCGGGAGTAACGGCGGGGAGGTCGAGGAGGTCGAGGAGATTTATAGGAGGACGGAGGCCGGGCCTCCGTATCTCGTACCTAGCCGAATGGAGCAAGTATGGGCAGATTATCCAGCACAGTACTCAGCTATCCAAGTTCCGCAGGTCCGAGTCGATGGTGGCAGCGATAAACGGGAGGCCCATCCGACGTCATAGTACTTACTTCGGCTGGAACCAATGTCATGAAGCCGCGACTTAACCAGTTGCATTCTCACCGAGTAGGCTTGATCAGAGTGCCAGCCAGCAGCGCAGGAAGTGTAGCTTTCTCGGGACGGAGGACTCGGACTTGAGAGGAGGCCGAGTCAGGCACTGGGTCGGGAACGGGAGAGAGACGAGCAGGCCGCGGCTTGTGATCTGCAGATAAACGCGGTGAATCTCCGCGACGCCCAGATTACTCCGGCAAACGCCCGAACAGCGATCATCACTGTTACGTAAGTATCACTATGTTTGACTTGCATACATATAAGTAGTACCACCTCACAGGCAGGTACTGATTACCACTCGTCATTGTCTTTCAATTAGTGCGGCGGGCCGCGTACTCGCATTTGTCTACAGACCTGGTTATGTTCACGAAAATCCAGATATCTGAGCACATTGGCGACCTCAGCGGGATCCTACGGATCTGGGCTGCACAACTTGAACACATTCTCAAGCGCGGTGGCGCATCCATAACCTTCGCTGCGATAACCAGCACCTCGCCGTGGGACGCGTTCGAGGTGCGGTACAACGAACCCAGCGCGCCTCGGACACTGGCCATCCTCCATTGATATTGATGCGCGAACTCCACGCCATGTTCCACGGTCGCGATACCGCCCGCGCAACCTTGCAGGCAACGATCGGGCACGTTGCCTTCGACAGCCAGTTCGACTCCGCGCCTTTCGTGGAGAAGCGCACGGTGGTGCGCCACAGCGGCCGCCACTAACGCAAAGTCCAAGTCCGCCGGTCCTCCACTCTCATGTCGGCGTGCTGGGCATACAAACGGGCCGTGAGTCTGCCCATGTCCCGCAGCTGGTCGTTGCCCCGTTGACGTCGGCCCCGACTGCAGAGCCAGCCAGCAGAGCAGGACCCCGATAACGCGCACGGCGCCATGCTCGCCCCTGTCGTTCTTACTGTGGGCGATCGAGCGGTATCTATGGGCCCAGGGCGCACCGACTTTCGTCCTATCTATATGTATGGCTCTCGGGACCTCGCATCACGCGAAGCAGGGCCCCCACCCGGCGGCCATCCTGCCCCTCGCGTTTCTTGCATTCTCAGACGTCGACGGTGCGCGCCCACCGTTCCGCAGCGTCATCACTCTCATGGATTACTGTTACAGTGTCGCAGGGAACACAGCACGTCGACACAGGAGAACGAGTAGACCCCTGCGGGACTCGCATGCGCGCGGTCACATCCGTATTGTGACCGCCCGCGTCTGGCCCGCCGGCGGTCACGATCGCATTGTGACCGCGACGCTGCCCCCGAAGCGCCCAGAGGGTGGCCCGGGAGGTTCAACCGCGCCGCCTGTCTCCCTCCCCGCTCGTTCGCCCCTAGACTAGACTATCGCCGTCTGTAATTCTGTTCGACTTATTCTACGCTTGTTTATTTTATTCTATGCCGGTTTGCCCGTATTGATCCTGCAAGGCCTCGAGCACCGACTTTCCCGATGGAGGAAGTGCCAGTACCGGACGAGCAAATCATCGACCCGATCAGGAAACCCCCCTATCCGAATTCGGGCTAATTCGCTCGAATTTCACCAAATTTTGCTGAGGAGCCATTTGCGTGACCCCCCAAAAGAATTTGCTCGAATTCTGGTGAATTTACCCCAAATCACTTGCCCAATGATGCCATTGTAGTTCCTCAATTCACACGAATTCGCAATGCTTTAGAACATCAATACCCCTCGATTTCGACATGCTACATGGACCAGGTATACTTGGGATCACAGAACACCAGCTATTGAAGTATTATCTACACAGCGAGGCTGGAAGTGGCCAATAGAGAAGGGCGAGAGAGGGTATCGAGCTGAGCTGGCTCGCAGGGCCTCGAGAGACGGACTCTGGTGCGTGTATTGGCCACAGTCCTGCTATGCGATCCTGACTCGTACATTCGCCCAGGCGTCCGTTCGCATGCACGCGCCCCGTCCCTCAGCCATTACCACTGCCCGTGTGAAGTCCCCGATGAAGGACTGAGTTGTTAACCATCTTGGTGTCCTCGTTGCGGTGGCACATCCTCCTCTGGCTTGTTGCGAGACGCATGCTTCGGTTATGCCGGGTGACCGCGTTTGCGGCCGAGAAGACGATGTGGGAGGCGAAACCAGGCACGATAAGTAGGTAACACTCGAGTTCTGAAAGTTCGCGCCCATCACCTAGTATGCTGGCCATGCCATATACCCTCATTCCCTGACCTCGCCTACGTCGCCCACTCGCAAGTGCTCACGGATAATTGGCCCCTGCAGACTCGCGTTGATGTACGCGTTGGGGATCGGCCCGGGTGACGCATCCGCGGTCTGCAGGCCAGTCTCTTCGCACGTCGTGAGCGGGCGGCCCCAGTTCAGTCTATCCCCGATGCTCCTTTTCATCCTCGTTAAATATATAGCACTCATTTCGTTTAATTTTTAGTTCATATCTCCATATCCTCGCCTCGTGAGATGCGCAGACGCGGGGTCATCTATCCCGCTCATCCTGCCGCCCTCGTCGTCCTGCCGCCCTCGTCGTCCTGCCGCCCTCGTCGTCCTGCCGCCCTCGTCGTCCTGCCGCCCTCGTCGTCCTGCCGCCCGCCTCCCGTGTCGCCCCTCCACGTACCGATTCCGTAGCCGCCGCGAGTGCAGGACGAGCCGGCTGAGCACGAGCGCCCAAAACGCGGCTAGGCTCCCTCTGCGCCGCCTCGACCGCCTCTCCCACACCTCCGGGTCAACACCCGCCATGCTGTCGGCGGCCAGCGTACTGCACACGGTAGTCATCCGCGGTTCGACCTTTTTGCACGCCGACAAGACCTTCAATCCACTGCCCAACCCGCTGCGCAGCTCCGTACATCCCACATCGCGTCCTCCTTGCCTCGCGTCACTCCTCAGCTCGCATCGCCACTGTTCCCCTTCGCGCTCGCGCTCGTGCCCCTCGATCAGCCGCATGAGCAGGTCGACGTTGGCAGTCGCCCACCTGCCGTAGTCGCCGTGCCGCATCTCCGTGCGCACGTGGTGGAGCCCCCCGTGGTACAGCAGGACGACCGCCAAGTGGTGCTCCTCCGAGAGCGTTGCCAGCTGCGCGAGGTACTGCGTGCTCGCGGACGTGATCGCCAGCACGACCGTCCGGGCGTCGATGAGGCCGGCTTCGTCCACCTCGCCAGCTCCGTCGGCCCTCTCAACGGCAGCAGCGCGACGCCGAGCCCTGCCAGCTCTCCGGACACAAGCCGGTCGTCGCTCTCCCACCACGTCTTGGCTCGTCCGATTCGGCAGCGATATCCACAGCCCCATCTATCGTGCCGTCCAGGTCGATGCCGCTCTCGATGACGAGTGTCACCTCCCCCGAGGAATGGCATGCACTGGAGAAGCGCAAGGACCACGAGCGCGACACGTCCGAGATACTCCCCGAATATCCGTTCCCACGGACACTGCCCTCGCTGAGCAGCCGGACGCCAGACTCGTCGAGGGTCGCCAGTGCGCACTCGAGCGGGGACGACTCGCCCGAGCTGTCGAGCAACGCTGCGCGGAACGGGCGATCAACGAAGCCCAATATCCGCACGAAGGACAAGGACCGCGAGGAGCGCAAGGACGACCGGATTGCGGGCCTCCTCGCGGAATGCACGCAGGGACACTTGAACATGTCCGCACACGCCCGGCCGGACGCGCACGTCGTGCAGCACCACGCGTGGGCGGCGGAGGACACGCATGTGCCGAGTTTCGCGGAGCTGCACGAGCCTGGGTTCGCGTGGACAATGACGAACATCAATATGTTCATGCCTGCGCTGGGTGCGCGGAGACGGGGTGTGACGCCAAACCCGCTGGAACAAGATAGCAAGCTCGGGAAGGAAGAGGAGGAGGAGGAGCAGCCGATGGAGGTCAAGGAGGCTCTCGCGGCTGCGAATGTCGTTGGAGCTGCAACTGAAGTCGAGGGTGCCCGAGGCCGAGGAACGCGGGCGCATATCACCCAAGTGCAGCGGGTGGACGAGCCCGAAGGAGAAGGAGCACCGGGAGCATGACAAGGACCGGACGTTTCCAGGACACAAAGAGCGCAAATCGGTGCGTGTTTCGAGCTTGGTTTATGGGTGTACACTGGGTTTGCTGATCACCTGCGTTGGAGCAGAACCCTCCCAAGTTTGCGGTGCACAAGGCGAAGAGCATCATGTCGGGCGCGTGAGCTCAGATTGGCACGCTCGCCATCGGTGGAGGCGATCCTTACTGGTCGATATGAACATGTGTTTCAATGATAGTAGTAGTTTGATTACAATACATGATAAGTACTCCTGAGACTGGGAACTGCTATAGTGCTAGCTACATGATGGCCTGGTACGAGTCAGTGTCCGCTACAGCTTGCAACATTAAGTGTGTAAAGCCAGGTACTAGTAAGTTGCTCGGTGATTTTAGTAAGTTCACGCCGCCAGCTTGTTCAGAAGGTGTTTACGAGCTGTTTGCACCGATTTGGAAGCCATTTACACGGGAGGTCGCGCCGGACCGATTTGGCGCTGATTCGCGCCACATTCGCGCAGGGGGGGTTTCCTGATGGAGTCTGCGCTCGCAGGCCCCACTCGCCATTCCTCTGTCGAACATCGCAAACCCGCCCGAACGTCTGCCAGATGGCCGGTTTGTCCCTCGTGAGACTTACCAGGAATACCTGTGAGTAGTATAGCTACGAGGAAAAGAAAGTGGTGATTCCTCTCAAAGACCTCCGCAAAGCGACACTGTCGAAATTGCGCAATCTGCGTAGGGAGACTGCCAAGAACACTGTAGGCAGTACTAGTGAACAGCCGAAGGATGTCATCTCAGTCTGGCTTCCCACTGAGCTATTAGAGTCCACAGGAGCGGTGGACCGTGACAGCCCAATTTTGGCAGTAAGTCCACTTATGTTTCCCCGAAGGAATGCTTCTGACTCGAAACAGCCACCCATGTCGCCAAGCAACACAAGGCAGACACGCTCACGCAAGCGTCGCTATGATGAGACTGGAATAATTGACCTTACATCCGGTGATTGTGCAACTGGCGAAGCACCTAGCCACGCCTCGAGCCATGCCTCGGCGTCGACGTCGACAGCAGCAACACGACGCCGGAAGTCAGCAAAAGAGATGGTGATCAAGACGAAGATGATGATAGGGACGGAGGAGACGGTGATAGACTTGACTTGAGAAGGATGCAGACTCGAGTTCCTAGTGTTGTGCCATACATCGTCTCATTTATATAACAACTTGTGACTACGAGGCGGTTGACTTCTACTACAAGGCGGCAGACCGGGAACGCCCGATGGGCGGAAGCGCACGGTTCATGGTAGAAGGGCGGTGACCGCGCCCGCCAAAGACGTTGTGACCTGGGTCGAGCGGAGCGCGGAAAGGGCGGTGACCGCGCGCGAGGAGGGCGGTGGCTGAGGCATAGCGGAGTGTGAAAGTGGTGACCGCGCGCGGTGACCGGGGCTTAGCGCCCGCGGCGGTCACGACGAATCCGCCTGAGAACCTGCACATGGGGAGGGGTAGGCTCGTGACCAGCCGTTCAATTCGAACTCCGATGCGTCGTTCGCAGAACGGCTGGTACAACTGGAAGGGCGCTTAAGGGGGGTCCCGATTTGGGGCCCCGTGTGAAACGGGACTTAGTGAAATCGTGCGCGTCGTGTTCATGCAGCGCGGGAGCCGGGCGAACTGCCTCGACCTACTTAGGGTACTCTCGTTTCCAGTTAGACTAGGCTTCGCTTGTATTCATTACTGCATGGGCTACTACGAAGTAATACAAAAACTTCGCTTGCATCATGTTCGCCGCCCTAAGGCCTGCGATCCGAAGGATGACCAGAAAGCCTCGTAGGTGGTAATGCGCGCGTGTCCATCCTCTGACTCGCCTACCGATCCCGCCGCTGTATCATACTGCGACACTGTCGATGATGGCTGTCTATCCCCGCCATCTCCGCTACTGCGCGCACGTTTTGCTGGCCGTGGGTTGACATCCTGGACCTGGGTTGGATCGAAGGGATCCACTGGGCCACTGGGGCCGACGCACGGGTGATCATCCGAGTCTCTGGACTCCGCGGCGCGTTTCGTTCGTGTTGGGGTCGAAGAGGGAGCATGGGCTGCTGTGCGATCACCTTGCGGCACCATTCCCGAGGTGAGGTGAGTTGTACTCGGGCCTGGGGGAGGTGATGCATGAACAGCGAGCTCGGAAGTCGCACTCGCGGCGTGCGGCGTGCGGCGACTTGAAGGGGTACCGACAGGAAGGGCGGCTGGTGGATTGGAGGACTTCGAGACGGCGCCGGTGGTTGAAGCGGAAGGAGTCTTCTTCGGCTTCGTCGGTTTCTTTGGCTTGGGCGTGAAGGCAATGTTCAGCGATGTGATGTGAGTAATCAATTCTGCACCGTGTTTGTCCCACCAGATCCAGGACGGCTTCAGGATTGCTGTAACACTGTTGCGAGACACATTGCCCATACTAGCCAGGTGCTCGATCACGGTGTCCTCGAGGACTGCGCTCGAATCATACATCGTGTTTGCATGATCGCGCTCATAGACATCGTCTCGCCATTGATACAGGCTCAGTTGTGCCTCAGTGTCCGGGAGACCACGAGTGACTCGCTTCGGCTGGGACAGTTGCGAGAGTGCACTAGGTCGAGTTTGACGAAGCAGGTCAGGATTGCAGATATCACAGCAGGCTCCCGAGGGTTCTGCGGGACACACTGATCAGCTTGCAGGCTACTAAGTACGAGAGAGCACAAATGACGAACTGTTGTAGGGGCTCTCAAAGGCGTCGGCCCACACACGACGTCGACAGCGTGTACTCTGAACGAAGGCAAGAAGCCCTTCATCAAGGGCTTCCGCATCCAGTCCTGGCTGCTTCCCGCTCGGGGCACTGTCCTGGTGCGATGTGCCCCCACGGTTCACTCCATGCTCCTCGGCATACTGCTTGTTTGCTTTGACCTGCGGTGTGGTCTTTCTCTTCCTTCCTCGGGTGACAGGCTTCGTCTTGGTTTTATCTAGGTTCCTTGTCGGGCCATCTGGCTGCGCCGCCTTGGACGGAGTCGCGCTCTGAGTCGAGTCCTCGCCGGACTGTGCTGTCAAGTCAATCGAGTATGCAGACCGTTCAACAATCAACACTGCGAGGCCTGTACGCCCCCGTCCTCTTGCGACTCGTCCGGCACGCTGAATGAAGTTCGAGAACGTCGAAGGCAGCTTCCACTGGACCACGACATCTATATCGGGTATATCGCAACCCTGTGAAAGGTCAGTTCTTGATGAACGAGCGACTCCCAGCGAGAAAATACTCACCATTCCCGCCGCCTCAGTGCAAACCATTATGCGAATGCTACCTTTGCGGAAGGCGTCCATCGCGGCTGTTCGGTATTCCGAAGACAACACTGCATTGAAAGGACGAATTAAATTCGCTGGCTGAGGTATATCTGTACGACTGGCGGTGCGTGTTTCGAGTAGGGTGGCGAGGTGGTCAATGATCTCGGTGCCTGTGTTGATGTTGTCCACATAGATCCACGTCTTCGGGATATCCTCGACACGGCTGATTGAGCTCGGCACGATGAAGTCGAGGTCTTTGTAGGTGTTTTGTGGATGCTCGGCAGCACGGACGACCAGGGCAACATTCGGGCGGTCGTTACCAACATTTACAAAGCGGCTCCCGCCTTTCGGGAAATGCAGCGCGCGGTGGATGTCACGCCGGACACGCGCTGTCAACGTCGCTGTCAATGCGATGACAGGTGTGCCACGGGGAAGGAAGGCTCGTACAACACCGAGGGATGCGTATTTCTTTCGGAAATCTGCCCCCCAGTGTGACACGCAATGAGCTTCATCAACCACCATTGAGAGTATGTGTCTAGCGAAGGATGAATTACGGAGGATCTTCTGGATGAAGGTTTGTGATTGCAGCATCTCTGGTGATGCGAGGATGACTTGATACTTTAGGGCGAGTATATTCTACGGGGAAATGGAGATCTAGGTAGCCGTGTAATTGGCTGGTTACGAACCTTCACGACAATAGGTGAGCACGAGCCATTCTGACTGTTGACAGCTACGGCATCGAGGCCATACTTTTCTTTGAATGTTTTCACCTGCAGGCAGCAATCTGTCAGCTATCGACAGAAGGCAATGCGACGGACACACCATCTCGTCTTCAAGAGACAGTAGTGGCGAGACCATAATGGTGACCTTCGGTTGCTCGTGCGGCCACAAGTGTGCGCCCGCAACTATAGCGGTCTTCCCTGCTCCGGTGGGGGCCTGGAGTGCCATGTCGACTCCCTCAAGCTGCGCCTGAATACCTGCAAGCTGGAACGACTGTGGAGTCCATCCGTATTTCTCCTCCATAAGCCGACTCAAATTGCTGACATCTTCGTCTGTCAGTTTTCGTGGTCCTCGGTTGGTCGGTGTGTCCTTCCGGATGGCCCATTTGCGCCGAATCGGGGAGCCTGAGGGTGAAGAAGGTCTGGAAGGAGGCATGTTGATGGAAGACAATTTCAGGAAAGGCGAGCAGGAGAGAGGGTGAATGCACGATGGCAGTGGCGGTGGCAACGCGATCGAGCGAGGGAGGCTTGCACTATGAGCATGCCACACAAATATATTTGTTCGTCTCAGCAACACTACATCTCTCGTCACCATCTGTATGGACTACCGACTACCATGCAGCCGTCGAATCTGGATGAGTCCCCATTGCGAGGGCTACTGGCCATGTCACCCTTGCCTTCTTCGTCTCCCCTGTCGAGTCTATCAGCACTTTCTCCCATAAATCAGCTCTCGAAGCGAGATGCCCAGGATCCAAGCAGTGCTGAGTCCTCACCTATGGAGCTCAATGCAGATCTTCCGAGCGCAGCTGGTGCAGATGCTGCAAACCTGCCCTCACTGTGCTCCCCTATTCCTGCGGGCCATGGGGCCGACCTGGAGCCCACGACTCCTATTGCATTGGGTTCTGCTGCTCAGTTGCATCTCAGTAGCAGTGGACCTTTTAGGTCGACACCTGTTGTCGGAACTCCACAAACAAAACTCAAAATCATTCGAAAGAAGGCGCAAAAGAAACGGGTCGGTACCCTTGCACGCCTGCGAGAGGATCGCGAGCTCAGAGATGTTGCCGCCGCAAACGCTGCTTATCAAGCCGCAATTGCTGCAGAGGTCGAAGAACGTACTCTCGGAAACATCAACAGTGACAGTTTCGCGGAGGCAGTGGCCGATCCTCAGCCTGTATGTCCTGTCAGCCCTATTCCACGTCCTCGCAATGAGGTACTCGATGAGACTCTCGCCCTCCTCAAGAGGCATGATTTAACTTGGGGAGACCTCGTGCTCTATGTGTCGGACCCCGCATCCAAACGCGGAACCGAGCGGTACAAGGGGATGTTCGATGTCCCTGGACGAGTAGAAGATGTACTTGCCTTCTGGACATCTTCACGTAACAGTCGCACCGGTCGCGAGGCAATCCATTCCTGGATCATGGGCTACATCAAGAAGCTCATCGGACGTGAGGCCTCTCGCACAACCAAGGGCGGAATGCTGCAGTCGCGCAAGATGCAACTCGACGAAGCTTTCGTCTTGAACTTCAGCCTGACGAAGATACACGAGAGCCTGAGACGGCTGTGTCCAATTATGACCGAGCTGTTGTGGGAGTTCGCATCGACGACGAGACAGAGGAATATGCCAAGTGAGGCTTCGATAGCTCGTAAGGATATGGTATGTTTTCCTGACCTTATAGTGGTATGATATGCCCGTCCTGACGCTACACTTAGCGTATTGGAGCTACCTTGATGGGTCTCCTGGGCGAGCACAGTCAGAACAATAGCTATGGCAAGCATGTTGTCGGACTGTACCTCTATGCCACCGGTGCGCAGCGACAGACAATCAGTGTCCTCTCACGACTCGGTGTCTGCAGTAGTTATACCACTGTTGCCGGGAAGTCAGGGTCGAAGTCTGCCAATGTATCACGTCAAGTTGTCGAGCAAGGAAGCCAGCATTCGGACGCCGTGCAGTCACCAACACAGGCCATCGACCCTGAAGACGCTGGAATCGAGGACAGCTCTGACGATGATAGCACAGATGAGGATCACAGCTCGGCCAGTGGAGATGAAGACGATGAAGCCAGTGGAGACGAGGGAGAGATGAATACTCTGGATGCTATTGACGAAGAGGTGCCCGACGAGCCTGGACCAGGAGACATCGTTGCGCTCGAATCAGACTTGGAGCGATGCGCAGGCCTACTTCGGCGTCTGTCCCAATCCTGTCGAGGCAGCGCCCGAGCTCAGGCTCGCATCCACGAGCTAGCGCATGTGTACGACAACATTAATTGGATTCTTCGTCATGCAGAGCAGATCCTAGGACGCAAGGACTCCATCGAAAACGGGACGTGCGCCACCGTTTTCCCACTATTCAATGCTGCTCGCGAGGACATGTCGACCTCTGATCTCTTGGACTCCTTCAACACTGCGCCTCCCCTTACACGCGACCACGTACTCCTGGATCCCTCCGAATCGACTCTACTCACCACAATGCTCGTGCACAACATTCTCCGCATCATCACATCGCACGGCGGGGCTAGCTTTGCTCGGTTTGCGCCCAATGTCGAGCGTTCATTACCGCGTTCCACAGAATGCATTCCACTTCACAAGACGGAGGTGTACCCTCTCCGGGCGATGAACATCGAGGAGGCCAGCATTAAGGGCAATGCGGAGGTCCCGGAGACCATGTTTGGTGAGCTTGGCCATGACCTCGACTCCACGACCTTCACGGACACCGTCAAGATCGTCTTCGGTGATCAGCTTTCTGTTGCACGAATTCGCGCCGTAATCAACAACCGTGCGGGGCACGATTCCCTTTCGAAATCACTCCTTTATGCCGCTTTTGCCCCAGGATTATTCCACTACCAGATGGCTGCGACATACGGTGTCCTCGAGACGCACTGGGGCAATCCGAGCCTCGGACATCACGATCCGGCGTGTCTTTCGTGGCACAACACAGTTCTGGATCGCAAGCCCTTTGTCTTGACCAACAAGCCACCGTATCGCGTTGCGCGTGATCTCATATTTCACTCGTTGTATGCCCGGCTGATACACTGCCTCGAGCTCGTCACAGCATGCGATGATCTGGAAGACTACGCCCAGAATGTGTCTTTCGACGAACTACAAGAGCATGTGCACGAGATCGTTGCTAGGTTTGTGAACCCGAGCTCGGTCTCTAAGCTGCGCAGTGCTCGTTCTCGTGAGACGACCTTGCATGCTCGCGAGGACCCTCTCCCGGCGCCAGCGCAGGGTGACATGGTCTTCGAGAATGCATGTCTGTTCCTGCGAGATGCCCTCATACTGCGAGAGCTCACAGACTCTATCAAGGCCGGTGATTCAGGCCGGCTTGTCATAATCCTCAAGACAATGGCTTTGAGCTATCGAGGGAGCGGACGTACGAAGTATGCTCAGGAGACCCTCTTCGTTATCCACAACCTCGCACATGTCTGGCCGAAACCATTGCGGTGAGCGTCTATACTCTCGTCTCGCCCACTAATTCTCACACACACGTCACCGGAACAGAGCCATAATGATCAACAACTGGCTCGTGAATACGACGGGTAAGCCAGATCATTGGTATCCAGTCGACCTACTGCAAGAACACAACATATTTTGGACGAAGGTCCGTTCTCGATTCCTTCTGTTCTCACATCACTTTGACCCTTAACAATATACTACAGACCATTTACAATGCGCAGGGGAGCGGCGCATCGTGGGATTGGTTGGAGATGATCTCGCCATGTATCAACATACTTCGCCGCCTCGTGACATCCGTGAATGATACCCTGGGTTCAAGACAAGGTACCAAGCATGCGGCACCGGATATCAAACGCGACATGGAAGAGTTACGACGGTCACTTGCGGGTGCCAATGTATACAAGATCGAGAAGGGACGAGTCATTGATGGTACGAAAGCCGTGGTTCCGAACGTCATCAGTGTTGGGCTCTTGCACCTAGCAGGATCTCTCGGCGAGTACAACAAGATGTTCACACGTCTCAAGAAACGCCGCGTGCGAACGTCACCACTCATCGGGGGCGCGATTGTCGGCGGGTCAACATCGCGCGCAGTCGCATCGCCGCGACCTTCGAGTGACAGCTCATTGACGGATGTCCCGTCAAATGGTGGTGGCTATATAGAGCCTAGTGTGGAAGCCTCGGAGCTGCAGGAAGGCTCGGATGATGAAGAGCAAGACGAGGGAGACGAGGAGATCGAGAGCTGGCTGGAACCTGAGCAGTTATTCTCATTGGATGACGAGGGCGACGTAGAGCTTTATGTCGACTAATATAGGTTCGAGATGGTCTTTAAAACTTGACGGCCTGAGCTAGCATGTAATGCGACGACAGAGGAAAGCCCTGTATTGTGCATGCTACTTCGATGTCTCGGCCACCTCAGAGTCAGCCATTCGCGTTTCGCGCGATTTCTCTAAGTCCCGTTTCACACGGGGGCCCAAATATGGCAGTGCCTTGGGTACCCCCGTAAACGCCTTCCAGTTGGCCCAGTCGTTAGAGTGCTGCTCGCCCATTCAAACTCCGTCAAAGCGAGCACGTGCACTCTAACGTGACTGGTTTACGAGTCTAGGGGAGGGGCAACGCCCGCAAGGGCGAATCTGTTTGTTCGTGTTTGGAATTAGTGGCATTGGTCGCGAGAGTGGTAGAAGCACTGTATCACAAACATGAGCTCCCTCAGATGCTTTGGTGTCCGCGGATGCAACGGGATTGAGAGCCATGAGGCCATAGAAGGTTTTGTTAGGTTACATGGACGAGAATTCCGATTTAATGAGTGTGGCTCATGTGTGTTTCCTCAATCATGGAGTGAAAGACAAATATCCACACAATGAAACCACTAATGAAACACTCATACGTACTCTCGCAATATATTTGTCACCAATGACCAGGCATGAATGCCTTTGCTTCAGGTTAGATACACGGTATACTGATAGGCACGAAGACGCGCGAGATGTCTCCGCCACAAACGCGTCGTACGGTCACGTGAGCAACAACAACGCGGTTACCCGTTCATCTCCATGCGCGTAACAATGTCCGTTCTCTCTCAAACATATCTCCTTTCGATAGGTGAGTTGAGGTATAAATGTACCATGGTCCCTGAATTTAATCGGGAGTTTCCTAGATTTATTCTGCGCTTAATTCGTGCCCTGAAGTTCAGCTACAGCATAATACACCAATAATCATCCTCGGAGACGCATACATCATTAGCACGAGTATGGTGGCCAAAGGAACATATAAATCATGTACTAGACCGAGGCGGAAGGGACGCTCTTCAGCACAGAAGGCAGCTGCAGCCAAGGGAGCTCTGGCTAGTAGAGCTCAGTATCATGGAGACTCAGACTCAGACTCGGCACTGGCGAGAGAGAACATACCTGTAATGGGTCCACAGTCATCTGGGATGGCTATTTTTTCGGAGTGGAGTGTCAGTGATATAGGTTACTTCCTTGCCAAGTGACAAACAAAACTCACTGTCATGTAGAAAGCTGAGATGGAGGACTTGCCGGCGCATGATGGGACTCAGCACTGGCATAAGCTTGCCGAATCGAGGAGACAACTGCACAACAGTCAGCGACGAGAAGCACGTATGAAGAAACGAATGAATGTACTCAAGGACAAGCTTCGAGTCAAGACAAATCTTCATGCATCTGTTGAGAAGCACAACACCGAGTTAGAGGGCAAGATCGTGCATCTTCAGCAGGAGGGGCACGAACTTCGCACGACCCTGGTCGGAACACGCAGCGCAATGGTCGATAAGCTACGTGGTTGTCAAAATACTATTCGAAAGCTTCGCAAACGCAGCGAGCGTGCACCCCGTGTTCTCGCGAACGCGATTGAGAGGGCGAAGTCACGGCCAGCGATCTTTCGTTTGAAGCGGAAGGGTGTTTACACGCCAGCCGCGCGGTCGCTTGCGCGCATGTTGGTGCGAGGTGGATGTTCACAGAAGAAGGTCGGAGACGCCATGCAAGGCGTTGCGGGAGCGTTAGATGTTCGACGACACCTGTCACGAACATATTCGCCGCGAAGCACGTACCTTCGACAGCAGTGGCCACGAGGCCGAGCGCCGCAGACGTCAAGTCGAGCACGATCTGGCAACTGCTCAGCAGAGATCAGCAGAGGCCGCGGAGAAGAAGCGCAAGGAAAATGAACGGGAGGCCAAGCTGCGTGCAGTCAAGTTCGTAGTTGACGAGGAGGGCCTGGCGAAATTACGCAGACCTGACATTGATCAGCAGCTTCAAGTCTATCGGCTCGACGATAAGGAGACCCCCGCACCTTCGTCTTTGCACAAGAAAAAGGTCAAAAAGCCCGAGGCATTACTAGAGCTGAGGAAGGCGATTGCGCGTGCAGAGGCCCGCCGTACACTGGCTCTTTCGAATACTGCTACATCTGAGTCAGACAGCATTACAGCGAGTTTGACACAACGAGCAGGGGAATCCCACATAGACTATGATAATGACTCGGACCTAGATTGTTAGACTATAACATACATTTTAGTATAACGTACTCGTAATTTACTCTGGATAGATGTCTTGCCTGTAGAGCTTGAACGCGATCAGTGCGATGTATACGCCACACCAGCGCCACACGATCGAGGTCTGACCAAGTTTGCAGTGGCGCGTCGCTGACTAAGCGGCCACGGGCGTCGCAGGGCTTGCCCCTCCCCACTGCACACCTTCCGGGCGCAGCTCTGCCACGCGTCTCTCGCGATGCTCCTCGCGCCCCTCGAGGCAGCCATACAGCGCCGGGAATCCGACGTCGCGCGATGTGCCGACGGCCACATCCGGCGTGCTTTCTACCAGATTGGGCCTGTGATCGTTGACTCGCCGTCCGCGTCAGCACTGGGTGATGTGGGTGATGCTAACAGCGAGGGCGATTTCGAGATGATGCCTGAGTTGGTTGCCAGTGCCATGTAGTTGCCATGTAGTACTGTACCGTTACGGCCGTTCCGTGCGGTGGCGTACAGTGCATGACGTGTCACGGTCAAGTGGATGCGTCTGGGCCTGCCGCACTGCTCCCTTGCCCTGTGACTCTGTTTTGTCCCATTTACTCTGCTGAGTCGCGCGTACTTCAAAGGTTCCCACTTCAGTAACACCGACATCGACAGATCGCACAAGAATCCGCCTGCGGAAACCCCCGGAGCCGCCTAAGTAAAGTAAGGAGTACTGTCCCCGTTCTGAGCGTTGTGGTGGAAGCGTTGGGCTTTGACTGCGTGGCGTTGGGCGTATCACGGTGAGCATGTCTGTATATGCCCTTCAAATGAGACTGCTAACGAACATTTCAGGCAGACTCACGCCAGGTCTGGTCTTCTTCTCAAACATGTCAGGAATATTTTTATGTATCACCAGGGGACCACTCCTCCCTCCGTCTAAGGTGTCTTAGCGTCTGCCTAGCCTGAGAAGCCTCCAATGCTTTCAGGAACCGCGAGAACAACAAAACATGCACAATGAAACCATCCTGGTAGGACTGACTCGTATCCTGGGTAGGCTACGCGGCCATGTAATCATCTTCCATCCTTGACTCATACCTATCCGACACCCAGACTCAGAGGTATGCGCTCTTCCTCATTGTGATAGTAGGATATGGTTTCTGGTTGCAGAAATGATAGCCCCGAAACAGGCGTGGTTGCGGCACCGTGAGGGTGAGGCGACTCCGTAGCCTTGCCGCTTGGAGGTCAGAGATGGAGAGAAGCCAAGGGAGCACATATCGGGTTCAGGTACGGCTCGACATTCTGTGTTGCGGAACATTGCCAACCTTATCCACGGCGCCCGCAACTGCAGCTGATTCAAGACTCATGGTAGCCTCGTGCGGCATTGGACAACATGGCCTGAAAGTTGACATGGAAGCCAGAACATGCGGTGTAGCTTCAAATCATGAACCATGTGAACACACAAGGCCTTGCGCAGGTAACGATACCTCAGGGTTGGCCCGTACAGTCAGGCACTGAGGAAGGTCATGGCAGAAAGCACGCCCGTGTTGGCAGGAGTCTAGGCTGGACATGGGCTAATAGAACTTTTATGTGCAACGGCGTACGTATATGTAGGCTATGTGGCTGCTGACAGGTTTCGAAGCACTTGCATTTCCAAGACTGTCGCTCCGACGGACACGCGTAGTAGGAAGGTTTGATTGCTCCATGACATCGCTCCAGAGAAGTGGTTCTCTTGTCTGATGGGCATTCATATATATTGAACTGCCTTGGGACACGCGGGGTACTGGCATGGCAGGCGAGGATACTACCTGTATATATACTGGCAATGAGACAGGGCTTGCTCCAAACCTACCGCGGCAATGCCAACTCACAAGTGGAATCGTGCCACCACATCACGCCTCCAACAGCCTGAGTATGTCCTATCTCTTCTGACGGCAACCCTTCTCGCTGCCATTCTCCCAGCTGCCAGTGGTGCGCCGGCCGTCTTACTTGAACGCATCGTTGCTACCAGGTCTTCGGGTGCATGCCCCGAAGATGCCGCTATCATCTACAGCCTGGCCAGCTACCTCGTCAGCAACTATGCTATCCATGTCGGCACCGTCTTCCTTGGTGCAGACACCGGACAGGATACAGAATGGGTGACACGTCGTGACGCATGGGTCTATAGTCTGTGGCTGGCGGCGATTTCACTCTTCCTGCCTTATTTTTCGCTCGCCAGGACGCTCATCCTCATTGTGCAGAAGTCGAGATGTGGCAGCAATGGCCTTCTCGCGGCACTTTACCACGGCGCACTCCTCGTCGTCGTCAGAGACCCGCAGTGGGAGCCTGCTGCAGATGAGCCTAGCGTGGTTTACACTCGGCTACCTCAAGGTTTTACATTCGACGAGTGAGTCCCTCGGTTGAAACGCAGTTTACTTGAGACATGTCAGAATTGGCTAACCGTGACTTGTCGGCGCTAGGGGCGACAGCACAAGGGTGACGACACAGACGGCCACCATCGTGCTTGATGCACACGAAACGCACGCTTACCGGCCCGTGGACCACGATGAGCATTATCTGCACGGTATGGCACGCCCCACGGTTGGTTATAGGCTCGCGGTACCGCAGCGCAAGAGCTACACCCAGATCTTGATCCGCAATCATCTCGAGGACACGACAGAACTACGCGTGCATCATCGCACGGGTACCGTCGGCGCAACGCTGTCAATCATCCAGATCGTTGCTGGATCCTACAGCCTATACATCTCGTGGTTGAGCCAGGTTCCCACCTGGGGATACGCATCATACGGCCTAACCGTACTCCCGTATGTTGTCATGTCCATCATCAACCTCGTTTGCGCAATCTGTGTCGACAGCTATGCATGCGCTCAGCTTCTCCGGACGCCCATTCTGGAGGAGTCTCTCCTGCGACGGGAGCGCACCGAATCTCAGCCTTCGGCTTACGATGGGACCATTGGTACGGTGCGAGAAGAAAGCCGTCCCGCCGTCCTGAAGGGGTCCCTGCGACAGAGGGGCTCCGATGCTCTGGATTCGGAGAACGACACTGGGCTGAACAGTTGTACGTTGCGAGAAGCAAGCGTTCAGGCCGCCGACGTCGAATCCCCCTATGTTGCAGTTGGGATGCACGTAGAAACTCGGGACGATGTTGATGGACAACCACAGAAATACATCGTCGTGACTCCTGCCAGTGGGCAAGACCGGTACGACGAGCCTCCTAGGAGGAAAGAGTACCGTCTCATCCGAGAGAAGAAGATAGAGAGTTTCAACAGGTTCAGCCACGTGCCTGTGCTCAGCGAACTCAGGCTACTGGCCGGACCAATGGAGCCTTCTCTACGGGGCTGGATGTTGTATTATGGTTTGTACTGAACTCGTGATACGTCGGTTCATATAATTTGTACTGAATTCTCGTTCACAGACTTGAACGGAACATATTTTGGTGCCTTGGCTCGATGGCTGCATCGACGCACTGGCTGGGACCTCCTCTCAGCTACAGACGAGCCTGAGGTCATCGAGGCCCCGGGCATGGGCCGCTCGGACGGCTCGCCCCCTGTGCAGTTCATACTATCTGCAATGAGCCACACCGGTGTTCCACTGGAAGATGAATTGAGGGAGGTGGAGCTGCGCACAATGCCTACCTCAGCGATCCGTTGGATATACGCCTTTCAGGCAGCTGCCATAGCCTTGCCTACCGCGGTGATTGGCGCTTTGACCGGCTTTCATCCTCAGCAAAGCACCAAGACCCAAAGGGCATGGATAATAGCGTGGATGGTGGCTGACGTTTTGGCGTCCTTATTCACCTCGATCTACTGGACCGTATGGATTCGCTGGAACCCGGTCGAGGTGTTAGGTCGGGGCAAACCGTTCGCGTGGTCAACTATGCGCTACTCGGCCTATATCAATATGGTGGTGGCGGGGATAGGCGGCTTTGTGATGGTAGTGAAGATGTTTCTACAGGACCATGAATATGGGCATCAGACATGTTCCCTGTAGATATACTCTGGAGTCTGCAAGGGACGCAAGGACTCGATGCCACATGTCTCCTGGGGCCGTGCTGTTAACGCAAGATCTTGGATACTAGCTGCTAAGTACACACTCGAGCTCAGGCATGGATGCTCCTGAAGATGCTGAAACAGATCTGCCGCGTGTACGACTGCCTATGGAGAGTGCTCGATTGTCAATGCGCGACAACGTGATCGGTTCCATGCTCTAGCGACTTAGCACCACAGACAGGAACAATATGTAGCTTGCTCTACTCTAGTCAATCAGTACACCGAGCGTCATCAATCTACCATGAGTGCGGCGACCCTCTTTTATTGTACGCCCGCCAGCTTTTTCAACATTGCGAACTCGCTCTTTCCCGTGGCCTTGCAGAGGCTGTGGAATTTTGACGACGGGTTTGCCAGCAGCACCGCGGGCTTATCAAACTCGGCGATTCGGCCCTGCTCGAGGAGCATGACCTGCGGTATCGATATCTCGTGTTAGGACGTTGCGCGAAAAAGGAGGGGAGGGAGGGCACGTACCCTGTCGTAGTCTATCACGGTACGTAACCGATGTGCGATCGTGAGGAGCGTGCTCTCTGCGAACTCTCTGCGGGTACAGGTGGACGGTGAAAAGTGGAGGTCTGTTCAGAAGGCGATCACTTACTGTCTTATAGTCTTCCCAATCAGTTCGTCGGTAGCGTAGTCTACGCTCGCGGTAGCCTAAACTAATGATGAGCCAGAAAAATCACGCAGTTCAGCAGACAGCTTACCTCGTCCATCAGCAGCACCCTTGAGCGCTTGAGGATGGCGCGAGCCATGCAGAGCAGTTGCTTTTCACTGTGGTGCCATGATCAGCCAGACTCGGATAAGACGATGTAGGAGTTCGTGCATACCCGGTGGAGAAGTTGTCGCCGCCTTCCGAGACGGACGAGTCGAGATCGCGGAAAACATTCGCGTTGACCATCTCGGGATCTTCGGACGGGACATCGCTTGCTGGGATGAGATGCACGCGACGAAGTGCCTCGTACTGCAGAACATACTGCGTCAGCTGAAGGACTTACTCGCAACGGGGTGATACGCACGATCTCAGCGTCCTCGTACTCATTGAACACATCCAGCGTCGACCTCAGCGTCCCGCTCAAGATCGTCGGATCCTCTGCAAATGCGTAATAAGTAACCAAGCGCTCCACGACTCGTCCAGCAGGTGAAGCTCACGCGGGATGATCGTCAGCTTGCTCCTCAGATCCGTCAAGCCCATCTTCGCGATGTCCAAGCCATCCACGAGGATGCGGCCCTCGACGGGCTCCACGAAGCGGAAGAACGAGAGCGCGAGCGTGCTCTTGCCCGAGCCCGTCCGCCCGAGCACGCCGATCTTCTCTCCAGGTGCGATGGTGAAGTTCAGGTGGTGTAGAACATCCGGGAGGTCGGGCTGCGCGCGAATGAGTAACACGGGCGAATTAAAAGAAGGGTAAGACACACTGCATAGCGGATGACGAGGTTCTCGCAGTTGATAGCGCCTTTCTCGGGCCAGGAGGCGGGAGGACGCGGCTCAATGAATTCAGGAGGCTCGCGTGGGAGCTCGGAAAACTCCTTGATACGCTCCACGGCAACCTGCGTCGCGAATGCATTTCAGTGCGAGCTCGGTATTGATTTACACTATGCAAGCTTACCATAGATTGCTCGAGCCCGACGAATCGTCGTACGAGGAAGAGGAGCTACGAAGCGCATTAGTTCATCTCGAATCGGAGGGGAAAGCGAACATTATCACTCACGTCGTTCAGAATGGTCGAGGAGAACGCAAGGGCCATTCCGGCCAGCGATGCCGTGATACCGGGCGTCAGTACGCATACAAAGGCAGTCACTCCGACAACAGCGCTGGAGAGGAGGTTGAAACGGGCAGACAACCATCGGTTCACTGCGAGATCGTGAGAATAGGTCAGTCATGATAAAGAGACGAATAACGTACCACCCCACATCCAGTAGTACGGGTTGGTGTTCTGGTGGTCATGGGTCAATGAGCGAAGACGAGTACGAACTGAAGACGAACAGTGTCAACGCATCGCAGCATGTCTCTCATAAACTTCGTGGAAGCTCCGAACGCTCGGAGGACCGTCACGCCCGCAATAGTCTCGCCGTAAATGGAGTACAAAGGCGAGCGAGTGACAGAGTCTGCGAGTCAAATATGAGTTTGATTGCTAACACCGTACTGTGCATGCGTACCAAGTCGCCGCATGTCCCGAGATGTTTGTCCGTAAACCTTGCCAACTGCGCTTCTCCTTGAGTATGCGGCATGGCCACATTGAAATGAAGTGACCCACCGCTGTAGTACAGACTTCCAAAGATGAAAGCCGCCAACAAGAAGGGCAAGCCTCCGATGTACGTGATCGTAAGGAACGTCGTGGTGGCAGACAAGGTGTAGGCAACGCTGCGTCCGAAGTTGTCGGGAAGGTTGCTATCAACGCCCTCAAAGTCCTTTCCAAAGCGGTTGAGCAGTCGGCCACGAGAGACCGTATCGTGGAAACGGATGTTGGCGAAGAGAACGCCCTCGAGAAGTCCTGACAAGGTGTTAGACGAAGACGTGCGCATGGCATATAAGAGGCGTACGCTGATAGAGGACAGTTGACGCGTGGATACCACCGTGGTCTGTACAAAGTCATTAGTGAGAATCACGGCGAAGATGGCAGGCTTACAAATAACGACCCAGCGGATAGTCTGGAGGATAACGCCTTGAACAACGTGTTAGAATCATAAACGGATAGGGCAATTAACCTGAGATAAATACCAGCTCCAGTGATCTGAGAAAGACATGTCAGAATTAATTAAGCTGAGCGTAAAGCCTAGACGTACTGCCGCATAGATAGCAATGTAGAAGGATGGAGGTCTTGGCTCGTCTGTTTCAAGCGCCGAGCCCGTCCAGATACTGTTGTGAGAGAGTTCAGGTCGACGAAAGCCCCGCCGCCAACGCGTCACGCACCGTAGCCAACCATTTTCGGCAACGGGACTGAGTGCTGCGAGCAGTAGTGCCACGCCAAACATGATCCAGTACAGATAACCACCGCAAGCGTCGATGTACGTCATCCAGATATCCTTGCCAATGCGACCGACAGCACGCTTCTCCTCTTCGATGAGCTTGCGCGGTGCCTTCCGTTCCTCTGGCTTCACCTCAGTCTCAGACGTAGCGGCAGTAGAGGTAGTCTCCAAGGAGTGTCCTCCATTGTCGTCGGATGACTCCTTCTCGGTGACTAGCTCCTCTACGTCTGCTACTGTCGTCTCTTCCTTGTCATCATTTGCATCAGCAGATCCGGATTGGACGAGCGTGTTCAGTACACCAGACGACCGGAACGTCTCCCGATCGCCTTGGAAGGCGACTCGGCCGTTGTCGAGAGCGACGATGTAGCTTGCACCCGGTGCACAAAGCTGTACATGGTGTGACACCAGTATCAGAGTACGACCGCGCATCAGGTCACCCTGTAGACATTCGCTGTAGAGGTGGTGAGCAGTATGGGCGTCAACTAGGGGGTCGTGTCAGTGATAGGCACCGTGATGTCCATTGAAAACTCACCCGCAGAGAGAACATCGTCCAGCAGAAGAACCGAGGCACGCGAGTACACCGCGCGTGCGAGCGACACTATACACATGTCTGAGGCGTCATTTTCTGACTTCCAATCGGTTGAACCCACCTCGAGCTTTCTGGCCACCCGACAGGTTTACGCCACGTTCACCGATCTCCGACATGTCTCCGTCCTCGAGGATCTTGAAGTCGCTGACTAGAGCGCAGACCTATGCCGACCCTGTGAGAGACGTCATGATGGAAGGCTTGGCACAGTACCTCAAGAGTTCGCTGATAGCGATCCTCGACATACGGGAGATCGAATAGGATGTTCTCTGCAGAGGCATGAGCACCCAAGAGGACAAAGAAAGGTAGCCTACCCACCTCTGATTGAAGCGTTACGAAGCCAAGCACTCTGTTACGAAGTGAGCTATAATCCTCCCATCGACCGAATGAGCATACCTGAGGGACATATGCACACACGCCCTTCACGACCCACTCCTCCTCAGGCACAACCTTGCCCGCGAAGGAAGCAATCGCATCAGGCGGCGAGCGCGGACACATCAACTGGCCAGCAAGCACATCCGCTTCACCAAGGAGCGCAAGCAAAAGCAAAGACTTGCCACTTCCGAGCTTACCACAAATCAGCGAAAGCTCGCCTACCGGGAAGTCGATGCTCAGATCAAGCAGCACGAATTTCTGCTTGGGGGTCGACGCAGCAGAGGGGGTAGCGCTGGCACCGCGGACACGGTCCTGCGGCCAAGTAATCGTCGCGTTTTGCAACGTGATAGCTTGCGACTGCTGGCTCAGGGGTTCGACGACTGCTACCTCGGCACCGTGCAGATACTTCTCAATACGACGCATGGACACCATAGACTGTCGAAAGGAGTCAATAACTTGATTGCATGTATTCGCCACGAATACCCACCTGAAGCATGTTGATGAACGTCTCCGGAAGCGCATTCAAGGCGAACTTCAGCTCGTTGAAGACTGAGCATGGGCGGATGAGTTCATGCCCGTACCCTTCCGTTGTCTGATGGACTTACCGCTAATCTGCCGTGCCTAATGATCAGAGTTTGCACTACCGTTGATCACAGAAAGTACTTACAGAAGTGAACGCGATGGAAGGCGTTAGTACTTGCCCACGAACGACGGCGAAGTGCCAAAAAGACACCAGCGCGACAATAATCGGAGAAGCACCCCTGAACCAAGCCGTTAGCCTACACATCAAACATTGCCCACATAGCCATACCATATGGCATTGAAGATAACCTACTCGAGGAATCAGAACCAGTCACGACTGCCACAAGCAAACGTCACGTACCTCGATATGGTAGTTGAGCTTCTGGTACCTCAATTCCTTCGCCCGAACCTTCATGACTCGTGCTTCGAAGCTGCGCTCCCATGCCATAAACTGATATGATATTCGTCAATACTCGAGGGATGCAGACGAAAGGTCAATCCTACCTTGAGCATACGAATACCACCAAGGATCTACGCGCCCGAGTGAGCAGACTAATCGTACAGGCTCTAACCGATACGAACCTCGTTCATCAAAGAAACACGCTCGTCACGCGCTTTCATCAAGCTATCCTGTGCCGAGACGACGACCTTGCTCGCGAAGTGGTTGAGCGGGAGCAACAAGCATGTCACCGCAAGTCCGATGAAACAAGAGACGCCTATAAGTAGCCATCAGCAGACCGCGTAATTCATGACGATGCGTGTGCGTACCAAGCAAGCTGTACAAGAATATCGTGCCGATAATGAGCTCGATGGGAGCATCTGAAGCACGCACGGTCATCTCCCGGTCCATATCAAGAGCTAACTTGAAGCCACATACCAAACAGCGTAAACAAGTGCCATGCGAACTCGCTGACGCGGTCCACATCCGTCGTCATCAGCGTCATGATCTGTGCCTTGCTCGAGAAATCGTCTTCGTCGCTCTTCGTCTCCCCGTTTTCGGTATTCGCACTGGCGGCGACACCGTTCTCGGCGGCCGCCGACTCAGGAGCGGGGCCAGCAGATGAGGCGATGTCCTTCCGCACAAGCGTTTTGGCGTACAGGATCGAGTTCAGCTGAACCTTGAAGCTGACCTGCAGGGTGGTCGTAGACAAAGACCACAGTTGTCCCGTGACTATATTTCATTCAGAAACTGAGATGGACGAATGAAGTCAAGTACTCACTGAGCTGAGTGAGGGCGTTCGCGAAGAACAACCCACAGCAGTATGCCCATCCCCAACTGCGGTCCTTCCTCTCGGGATCCATCTCGAGGTAGCGCACGACGCGCTGGAGGAAGTAGTGCGGCGTATAGAACAGACCGGCGACCGACATCGCGAGAACAACGACCGTCGTGACATTCCAAAGGTTGACCCGCAGCAGACGATAACCAAGCTCCCAACCCCTGCCAGGGCGCACACGGAGGTGGTATTTCTTCAACGCGCCGCGCATGTTCCGGAAGAGCGTCGTCGCGCGCATGTCCGCAGGCACGATCGGCAGGTCGCCCGTCTCCAGGCTCTCCGCCGTGTTCCCGAGCATCACGACCTTGGTCGTGTACGAGAACAGCAGCGTGTCCCACACCGACGCGCCCGTGATCCCGCACACGTTGTCCTCGCTCGTGTTCGTCATCTTCGCGGTGACCTTCTCCGAGTAGATTTGCTCCGGTGGGAAGTGCAGCGGTGGCCCGCATGGGGTGGTCGCGACCAAGACGAGTGCCGCGATGTACAGCGCAAGCGTTGCGTAGAATAGACCGAGCGGGACGGTCGAGGGCACGAACGAGCTGATGTCGATCAGCTCGGTGGACGGCAGGATGGATGTGGTGAACAGGAAGGCAGACGCAACGAACGTCAGGGCAGACAGGTGTATCATGGACTCAGCATGCTCGTTGTCCTGTTGGCCCACCGAGCGCGCCGCCACTGCGAGCGTGTAGAGTGCGAATACGACGTGCAAGGTGTGCACCGCAATGCTCGTCCGCTCGTCCTCAATGGCCGCCCAGCCGAGGCTGACGCATTGGACCATCAATATGGCTGCGAGGAGGAATGAGAAGAACAACTTCCTCAGTCGCATCTAGCGCATGGTATAAGTCCCGGCATGCCTTGACAACACTCTAGGACGCACCGTGTGCCAGAACTCGTCTCCGTAGACCGGTGTCCCGTCCACGAGATCCTCTGGCTTCGTCACATCGAACGGGTCCTGCTCTTCCTCCTCGACATCGAGGTGGATCTTGCCTTCCTTGGGTTGCGAAAGTAGAAAGACCGTCAGACTGCATGCTGCGCTGACCGCGAGCACAACCGCGACCTCGAGCTGGTACTGAGGCATGGGGAAAGAGTGAAGCCTTGCAGTCCGGGCGCAAATTGAGTTTACCAGTGAATATGAATGTCGGCTCCGGCGGCTCGCAGTCAGGCTGAGGAAGAGTCAGGGGCGGCAAGAAAATGGCCACTACGACCGCATGGGCACCCGCATTGAACTAAGATAAGCAATGCGCAAATTACGAGACGATGAATTCGGAAGACCCACCACCTTTCAGAGAGTCGAGAAATATAAGCAAATGTGTCCAGAACAGCAGTCAAAACGTTTGGGAGGATGGCGTTTCCGCTGGCCGACTCGGACTCCTCGCAGTCCAGTCGCAGGGAGTCCAGAGGGAGTCCCAGAACATAATTTCCCCGATCTCATCTCCCATCAGCTCACGTGTATGTACATACGACGCGTCCGGTCACAGTGTGACACAACGCGTCCAGTTCGGAGGCGCCGCTGCGAGCTCAGTTACTGCAAACTCCCTTCGAGCAGTACGTCTTTGTGATAACTCGCACTATGACCCAGGAAGAGGTGTCTCCAGAGATCATGCTCGCTTTCTATAAGCGGCTCTATCCCTACAAGTCTATCTTCGGGTGGCTGAACCACGAACACGTCCCGACAAAACGCTTCACGCATCGCGAATGGGCCTTCACTCTGCCGCCAGACACCTACGTCCGGTACCAGTCTTTTGCAGATGCTGACGACCTCAAGAAGCAAGTCTGTCAGTTGAATCCGACGCGGTTTGAGATAGGGCCCGTCTACAGTGCCAAGGTATGTTCAGCGACGCGTCTTCCCCCTCTCGAGCTCACCGATTACCACAGCCCCGAGACCGAAAGACCGTCCGCGCTGCCAACTTTACGCCCCAGCTCCGCGAGCTCGTCTTTGATATCGATATGACCGACTACGACGAGATCCGTACATGCTGCTCCGGCGCCGACATCTGCAAACGCTGCTGGGCCTTCATCGCCGCCGCCGTGGGCGTGCTAGATCGCGCCGTACGTGACCAATTTGGCTACAAGCACCTGCTTTGGGTCTATTCTGGTCGGCGTGGTATCCACTTGTGGATCTCGGACAAGGAGGCGATGGATTTGACCGATGAGCAACGGCGGGCACTAGTGGGCTGGCTGACGGTGATACAAGGGGGGAAGGAAATGCGTAAGAAGGTGAACGTGCGTCAGGGAACAAAGGCGCTTCCGCCGGGCATCCAGTGAGTGCTCTCGACTTGCACGCTGCTTGTAGTGATGACACCAGTACAGGATGGCGCTGGAGCCCCTAAGACATTTGTTTAACGATCTCGTCCTCGAGGATCAAGACTGCTTTGCCCAAGAAGAAGGCTGGGAGACACTCCTACAACTCATTCCCGACTCCGGTGTTGTCGAACGGTTACGTGCCAAATGGGAGGCCAAGCCCGGACTCTCGTCGGAAGCGAAGTGGGACGACCTCAAGAAAGAGGCAAGGGCAGAAAAAGGAAAGGGAAAAGTGAGTTGCTCTTTTCCATTCGCAGCACGATGCGTTTTAACAGACTCTAGGAAGCCTTGGTAGCCGCAATGGAAGACATCGTACTGCAGTATACCTACCCACGGCTCGATGCTGAAGTCTCGAAGCATCGCAACCATTTGCTCAAGGCACCCTTCTGTGTGCACCCCAAGACAGGCCGGGTCTGCGTTCCCGTCGACCCCAGCGCGATCGACAGCTTCAGGCCCGAGCGCGTGCCCACTGTGAGTCAGCTGCTGCGCGAGCTCGACGAGCTCGGGGCGAGCGCTGGAGGCGATACTGCGGAACATCACTCTGGTATGTTAATGAGCTGCACACTGATCGGACTGTGCTTGACGGCTGCCCATAGATTGGCAGAAAACGTCGATGAAGCCGTACGTTGAGATGCTCGACAGGCACGTCGCTGCGCTCATGGAAGAGGTGAGGCGCGCAAAGCGGGAGGCTGGTCCAGGTACGTTGGCAGGTGATCTCACAGACCCCTTCCTCACATTGTTCTTTGCAGATCGAACGTGGTGAAGCTTGAAATACTCCTATGGAGTTGTATTTATATCACTGTTGTAGTGTTTTGTCAGCACGTTGTATTCCTCGCTGTCTAGCTGTCCGGTCGGTCTTCCCACATATTGTATCTGACGCATTTGCATTTGTACCAGTGCATGTCCCGCTGCCCAGTGGTACATAGACGGCTGCCTCGGACACCGGGTGAATTGTCCACGCATCCTACCCAGAACGAGATTGTCATCTTGAAACCGCGCATCCGAAACTCTCGGGTATGTACAACTGCGGTTCGGGTGCAACTACGGTGGGCTCTGACTTAGCGGAGAATAGTCTCCGTTGCAGACTTAGTCTCGTACCAACCTCTCACAGACACCATAATATTAAACTTTATGCCCATTTATAGAGACGATATCATCGACACGCTCGAATGAAGGCAGTACGACCTTGGATGCAGTGTCGTCGATATTGCTCTGCGTGCGACATGTTCGTGCTCGGCACCTGGGGTTCGTTGCAAGTGAAACTCGTGGTCTTCGCCCTGTTCACGATCGTCTCTGGACACCTTCTATTCGACGGTGTCCTCATTTGTCAGGGCGGTGGGATCCTTGCTGTGCAGACAAAGCGGTCCGGAGTGCGACCCGTGTACATAGGTGAGTAAAGCGGGATGCTGTATCCCAGAGGCTCAATCCATCCTTTCAGGTCCAGCAGTGCCCTCGATGCGCAGGGACCCGGTACATAGCAAGAAGCAGCCCATTTGGTCAGTGGTGGCTGTTGTGAAGGGCATTGCACCATGAGTTCGGATGAACTGGACCACAACTATCCCAGCGACACAATTGTACTTTGCATTTGACGGCGACATGATGGACCCGAGGCACTTCTAATGAGCTGTCTCAAAGTTGCGCCTGCCGTGAGTTGCCTTCGAGTGGTGGGTACTTGTTCTCGCCTATTGGTTGCTGGCTTACAGTTCCAGAGTTGATGCTAATGCGGCGTAGTTCCACTCTCACAGCAAGACTACCCTAATACAGCTGGTTGTCCGCGGACGTCTTCAAAATTTGGAGTGTAAGCTGTGCAAGCGATGTGCTGTAGCATAATGTGTGAGCTGACCAGCGGTGTCCCATGTATAGCGACTTCGAGCTTGATCGGACCAGCCTGAACTTGCGGTAGCAACCACAGAATCCGCAGCAGAAGAAGCAATTGTGCAATGGCCTAGAAGAGACGCGTCGATCCAGGGCTTGAGCTGCAGTGTAGTAGAGTCAATACTACCCGTGGCCCATGCACTGGCATCGAAGGTGAGTAATGTCGCCTGCTGGACTAAACCCGACTCTAGTCGTCGGGCAACGCGTGGTGGCTACATCCCATTCATCTGTCAAACACCGTCAACGGAACTTAGATGTTCGAGCGGTATGCTGGATCATTTGCCTATGTTGCTTTATTTGGCTGGGCTCCACCCTACGATCAACGGAAGTCCGGCTTCCGTCCCTCTATGCGTCTTGTCGACCTCATCGATAGTCCTCACCGCTCATCCCGTCTACTTACCTCGTCTCATTTGAAAATCGCAAAGGTATGTCGCGCTCAACACTGGCGTCCAGATGCCCATTTTGACATGTATTTTAGGTCCGGCCCCATTTGGAGAACGAGACTTAGGTGCGTCTCTCGGCTCGTATCGAGCATCTGGCTCCTCGAGCAAGCGAGCGAAAGTAGCTCATAGGTAGCCTCGCGATGAGAGGCACTGCGTCTGTCAACAGGTATCCGCTTCCACTCACAGACGTCTACAGTGCTCAAGAGTTGTAGAGAGCTACGGCGGCACCAGTGGTCACTAGAGCCGTTCAAGATCACGGCGTCGTTCAAGTGTCACTGTGCAATCAATCAACGTCACGGCATTTCGAGACAAGGCGCGAGACGCGTCTGTGCTTCGCTTACCGCAGTACCTGCGGATGCTGACGAACAATCTCATCTCTTTATCAAATAAGCACTGGTGAGTCGTAACGTTGGTCCCGTGTGAGCACTTCGTATGAGGCGCTTTTGTGCAGTGACGAAGCACTCACTGTCACCGTCAACAGCCATTGACTCGAACAGCTAGGCGCTACTCCCTGCGAGGGACAAAAGGCCATATAAATATCGTTCACCTAGACGATAGCCCTGATTGTCGCTCTCAGCTACTTTCTCCCCTCAGAGCTTTCCACGTCTACCACTTGCTCGTCCGCGAAATGCCTGCTTCGAAGTATGTCACCTTGAACACCGGCGCTCAGATGCCCACCCTTGGTCTCGGTACGTGTGTCAGGTTAGGTCCACTTTGGTGAACGAGCTGTAGACGCTACGCGTACCTCGTCTCGAGTCTTCCGCTCTTCGAAGGGCAAGGCGCAAGCAGCTAGCACAGGTGCCCTTGGTAGCCTCATCACGGCAAATGAGGGAACCTGAACTGAAAATGCTGTCGACATCGCAGTGTTGTCGGGCGCTGGTTGGGCTGTCTCAGGTCCCGCTCATGCACAGGTCAGCGCGCATAGGCATGTCGTAGGGACATGTGCCGGGCCAGCTGGCAAGGTGTCCCAGCCATTCGGAGCCATAGAAAGTCACCTCGAGCCGCGCTCGGAGACAAGACTGACTGGATACAGTGCGAGATGAAGACACCATCGTGCACCGAGCACTCTTCCCGAGTTCAGGCAGTTACATACTGAAGTTTTGAGGTACTGACGGGTGATTTTCACTATAGGAACGTGGCATCCTGGAGGTCCAGGCACCGTAGAGCAGGCTGTTGAGGTTGCACTCAAGCACGGCTACAGGCATCTTGACACCGCGCAAGCATACTGTGCGCCCGTCCTGTTTGTATCCTCTCGTCCCTTGTCTGACGTTACTCCCGGCCCAGCTAACGAGAGGCAGGTCGGTGAGGGCATCAAGCGCTCTGGCGTGCCGCGCGAGGAGATCTTCCTCACGACCAAGCTAAATAACACCGAGCACGCCGACCCGCTCGCGGCCCTGCAAAAGTCGCTTGCCGCGCTTGACACGCCGTACGTCGACCTCTGGCTGATGCACTGGCCGTGCCCGGTGAAGGACCGCAAGCCGGACCGGTCGCTCAACTGGCTCGACACCTGGAAGGTCATGGAGGCTGTCCTCGAGGCGCACCCGGACAAGGTGCACGCGATCGGCGTGAGCAACGTGAGCGCGCCGTTCCTCGGGAGCTCTTGAAGGTCGCGTCCATCGTGCCCGCGGTCAACCAGATCGAGAGCCATCCGAGCCTGGCGCAGGAGGAGCTCGTCGAGCTGTGTAGGGAGAAGGGCGTCGCGGTCACGGCGTATTGCCCGCTTGGGTCGGGCGATGTGCCCCTCGCCGACCACGTCGTCGTGAAGGAGATCGCGACGAAGCACGGCGTCACGCCGCACAACGTCCTCATCTCCTTCCACGCGAACCGTCCTGGCGTGAACGGTACGTGGGCAGCGCTTTTAGCCACTTCCATATTAGTACTGGTATGATGTTGACGTCGTATGCAGCCATCCCAAAGTCGGAGACGCCCGCCCGGATCATCGCGAACATGCAGATCGTTGACCTGTCAAGGGAGGAGGTCCAGAAACTGTTTGATATCGAGAAGGAGGGCTCTATCCGTATCTGCAAGCCGTTTTGGACGGGTTACGGCGACATCGGCTTCGCAGACTGCAAGCGGTGAGCCTTGCCCCTGCTTCGAGAGCAGTCTACTTGGAGTTCTCGTGTTGGAGTTATGCTGAACGGCGTAGACGCCAATATCGGAGCAATGTGTATAAACAGAAGAGGGGAAGTTGTGAGATGTAATGTATGCTTATGCCATCATATCACATGGACTGCATGAAGCCTCAGGTACTTTGGATTCCTTGGTAGACGTCGACAGTGCCGTCCGTCCGCGTCACCCTTCTCGGAGCTGGGACCTCAGAATGACATTGTCTTACCTGGAAGCCTCAATCATTGCGGTTCCGCCCACTTGTAGCTTCGGCTCCCTCCTCCCCTCGGTGGCCTCAACTGCTGCGAAGTCGTACTGAGTAGCATGTGATGTGCATCGTGCTATAGTGCCTCCATCGCAAGCTCAGGCCCCTCCCAGCGTAGCTGCTTGGATTCTCTCGTTTAGTGCATGCATATATTCACCACGGAACGAAGCACCACAATACATGTGACCAGAAAGGCCAATGAGAGTGTATCTGGTGATAATTACTGCACTGCGAGTCCCGATTATGACGCACACTGTCCTGGGCCAAAGTTGTTATCTGCGAGAAACATCATCGACACCGTCACTATACCCCCGACTCCGGGAACAATGAGGACGTCAAAGCACGTGTAGTGGAACCAATCCGGTATGAGCGTATGACGCTTGCCACGTCACGCTGCACTGTATGTTCACGAAGTGAACGTTTTGATACTGAAACCGTGCCTATCTACGCAACCACAGCGATTTGGCCACGTACAGGGACGTTCTCCTTACTTCCTGGCTCCGGGAATCCCTGCACGTCCACGCCCTTCCTGAACATCAAGCAATGGGTCGAGCCGCCAAAGTGGAACATCCCGATCTCGTCCCCCTTCTTCACATGGTCGCCCTCGCGCACGGTGATCTCGCACGTCGACACCTCCGCCATGCCGACGCCCAGGAAGGCCATGAGGCCGATCGCGGGGTTGTCCGCCTCGATGAAGATGATCGCGCGCGTCGCGACGGCGGTCAGGTATACCTGCGAGTCGGTCTCGCCCCCCTTGTCGATCTCATCCCCGTCTTTGGCGCTCCCCCGCCGTTCGGGGTCGCCCACGCCGCTGAAAAGCGGCTCGGAGTAGTATGTGCCCTCCTTGACGTACGCCCGGACAACGCGTCCGTTGACGGGCGCGTGCCAGCGATGGTACGAGAGCGCGGAGAGGAACGCCTGGTAGACCGTCCCGCCGACGAAGAGTGGCGCGCGCTCGTCGTGGGCGAGCATGTCGAGCACGGAGTACAGCTGGCCCTTGATCCAGAACGCGTCGCGCAGCGCGACGTTGTGCGCGATGTTGTACGCCTTCGACTCGCATGCGTTCGCGATAATGTTGTCGTCATCCGGTGAAGCGATGGGGCGCGCATGCTCCCTGTACTTGCGTGTGAAGAACGCGTCCCAGGACGCGAAGCCGTGATAGGACTTTGAGGGGTCGCACTCGAAGAGATCCTCAAACGCGTGTGAGGTGCCCGCAGCGCCGTTCGCAACGGCGGAGAGGTCGGACTTGCCGTGCGCGCTGAACCAGCCGCTCGGGCCGTCGTGGAGCGCCTGCTTGGCCGAATCCTCGGAGCAAAGGAACGCACCCCACGCGTCGAGGACCTTCTTCAGCATCTGGTTGACATCGGGGTCGAGGAAGAACGCGAAGCCGCTGGGGGTACCCATAGGCCAGTCGAGGACGGCGTTGATGGGCACGCCGACCATGCCGACGCGGTGCGAACTGTCACTCCAGTGCGGTGCAGTGGTCATGAGGTGGTTAAGCAGTTGAAGCATGTGCTTGTGGTCCCTAATCTGCTTGTGGCCGGTCGGGTCGGACGAATAGGGCTTCTTGGAAGGGATCTGCTCGAACATGGACTGCACGAGCATGTAAACGCGCGTGTTGGTCTCGATGAGCGTCTTGAACTCTTGTATAACGGGTTGAATGTCTTTCGGGTTCTTGTCGACATGCTCAATGACGCCGTTCAGCCATTCCTTGTGGACGCGATGGTCTCCAGGAAGCCAGTCACCAGTTCTGTGAAAAGGCATGCATCGGCACATATGTCTTCAGTCGAGTCGAAGGCGTGAGCTCACCTGTGTACATGATGTTCCTTCGGAACGTCCTCATGTCGAGCATGGATCTTCGTCTGTTTGCTCATTATACTACTAGATGAAGAAGTTGTGGTAGGGAAGGATCAGTACGAATGCCAGGAGTTGGAAAGTAGGATGGTGAACCGAGAAGTTTATGAGGGCGACGGTTTGCATACACCGGCCAGTCTGGCACCTCGTCACTGGAGTACTGACCACCGAACTACGTCACACTGGTCACACGGCCCGACAGATTTACTAGTACCACTCTACGGGTCAGCCCGTTTCTTTTCTGTGAAGCAGCGGCTACGAGTTGGAACGTCATATTTACGATCCACGAACTGGGGCGGTCAAAACACGGCAATCAAGTCAGTAAAGAGTAGACATCGACATAAGCGACCCATAACAATGGCACTTAGCATCCGGATAAGCCGCTGGGCCGTTGACCTTGAGCTGTGTATTTGTCTGCGAAGGACATACACCGCAAATCAGTGGGCAACACGAGGGCATTCTTTCATGCCTGCGATTGAAAGTTTGGACCACGTTGAGGCGAGGTGGCGAGGAAGCTCCCAAGCCAAATTCGACACTGGAGGTCCAATTTGTATTTCGGCGCTTAGATTGCGATCTGCGCGCCGTGCCGCGGCCCGCCACAGCCCGCCACCCTCGGCGTTCAACGTTGCGCAGGACGGGCGTGTCGACGAGGGCCGGACTCGCGCCGACGTCGAAGGCCGGACTCGCGCTCAGGCTTCAACGTTTCAACGTTCAAGTTCGCATTCTCTTGCCCACCTAAGGTCGACTCGGACGCTAGTGTATAGCATCGAGACATAGCCAGGCTGTTAGTATGTACGTCTAAATTTCCCATCTCAAAACGAGGCTCACATTTGAGGACAGATCTCTTATATCTACTATATAGGTACAGCCCTCAGGCTGCATATTCTTGCCAGGCGCAGTGCGTGGTAAGACGAGCGAGGTGCTAAGTGTGTTTCGAGCTGCCTAAGTACTATGTCACTGAATACGGCCTCGCATCATCCAAATTCCAGTTTGGCTCGACGGCTCAAGGGCGGCGACAGGACACAGGTAGTACACCAGGTGAGTACCTGATGTTTCGCAGACATATTTGGTCGCGCACTCTGAGCTGACAAGGCGCGTGAAAGATGCTTCGCGATCTCGATAACACAATTGTCCGCTACGACTCGACTAGAATGCTGCTTTCTGTATACGCGGTGACTTGCGATGGCGGCGAATCGATCGCTGCCTCTCCCGCTACGCCAAACTGCAGATCATAGGCCTCCAAACCGTGGCGCTCAGAGGCTTCACGAACGGCTTGGATTCGCGTCAGTGCGCCGATTATCGACAGTATAAAAACACTTACATATGTCGTCAACAACAGGCATCCCGAATTGTATAGTTCCTCCTGTTCTATTGAGCGCGAAGTGGATGATGGTCAGCACCAGCAGTACTGTCAGTATCCGTTGGAAGAGACTTGGCATACCCTGGAAAATGCCAGTGGCGATCCACGAGCGCGTTGGTGTAGCCTCTGATCCGAAGAGAGGTGCGTGAGTATGACGTTCATACTTGACGTAATTTGATAGAACGCACTTGTCAGGTATGGGAGCGGCGACAACCACGTTCGCAGCGACTAGTGCGCTGACAACAGCGGCAAAGAACAGCGTGGACAAGTTGAACATCCTAGCGTCGAATGTGCACTTCAAAAAGCGAGGGTTATGGACGACTCGGAAACGGAGGCTGGTCCATGGTCAGTCGTAACTCGGAAACACGCCTGCAGGGTTCACTCACTGCTCTACACCAAGTATGAAAGGTAAGGTGGCCGCCCAGGCGAACTGGGGACCAGAGCGGTCGCCATGCTTGCTTACATAGGTAGCCCCTTCGTTGTTGCGATCTCGAGTGGCAGGGCAACATCTCCATTCTGTTGATATCCTGTCAGCCTCCGACGAATTCGTCGTCGTGTTGATCATCGCGCCTGAGTTGGACTTCGTGTTCTGTAGATGGTATCTCGGCGCGGCATCCCCTCATTGCACAGGCGATTTATTAGAATGTACATCTCGGTTTGACAATCATGTGTCATGTGGACCGCGACTTTTGAGATGACGGTGCGGAAGGCGATGTTCATTGTAATAGTAGTCATGGTAGTTAGGCGGCGTACGTGTCTACGTCGTGATCTGACAGTTCAAGTGGACGAGGGCGTGGACACGTCCGCTGCGAACGAGTGGGAATGTGTATTCTAAGCAAAGTCCTCGCACGAGCGACAGACAGCGCCCCTTATGATGGGTCTCAATGTAGCACGCAAGGGTGTAACAGTCCCAAGCTTCAGTATGACACCGTATCATATGCTAAGTACTATAATTCTACGTCACATCCCATCGCGCGCCGTTGGTGTCCGAGGATGGGAGCGTCTGGTTCTTGCCTTGACCGGACCAACTCCTGGGCTACGAACTCCGCGACCGACGGTCTGTATGATCAGGCAAACATCAGCAAAGCCTGCGCATCATCTAGCCTCTTGCGTGTGTATGGTTGAGTGCTGCGGGGTGCGGACAATTAGGTCCTTTCACAGCTCGCCAGTTTCTCAGGGAGCCATACATCGCATACAGGATGCTCTCGCCATTTAGGCCATGCCCACATGCCCCCAAAACAGCACCCCATCCCCCAGGTGACACCACTACAGTTGAAGACCACGTGTGAGCACAAAATTGACACCACAACAACCGCGAGATGTGAGATGTAAGACATACTTTGGCACATATCCCCGCTCCTCAACGAGTGTCACATAGTCTGAGGACCTGAAAGCGAACGATTTACATCAGCTTCTCACTCGCATAACGCACTGTGACAGGTATCGAACCTTGAGTCGATTGGAACTGAGAGTATCCCGATGGCGTTCAAAAGCAACAAGAACAGAGCTAGCGTGTTCATCTGAGTCGTTGTCGGTGGTATTGCGGCTATGATGAGTCTTTGCAGACGAAAGTGCTGCGATACGAACACCTCGTGAGAAGAGATACGTATAGGCACAATATCAAGCTAACTTACTGTCCAGCATCGGCGGGAAAGATAAGTGTATGGAGGGTGAAAGTCGCCAGGACTAACAAAGCGACACTGTTCTGACGGGGCCTTATATGGAGCAGGCCCGCGGGACTACATGCCAGTGGACGATATGCTGCTCGAGCAAACTTTTCGAAAGATTTCCGGCATCTGCTTCACCGTCACGTCTGTCGCAGGTACACCGTCCCCTGTTTCAGCTCTGTGAATTGATGTCAGTGACACGACAGCCATCTCGAACCAAAGAGCTTATTTTGCAACGTCTTTGGATGTCGAACATGATTGTAGTGCGTTCCAGCCAGTGCGTTCGGATGAGGATACGAAACTCGGGGAGTAATGATTCAATGTTACCTGGGCTACCGACGTATGCCGATTTTGTGACGCGGATATGCAGATATATGACCATTGAACGCAGACACTTACCTGTGCCCCTAGTTTTGTGTTAAGAACAGTTCATCTTCCATTGACCTGTGCTTCTCGGTCTTGTCACGAGTATACCGTAGGGCCCTATGCAGTTACCGTGCTGTTACGTGGCGCAATGATGAGTCATCCACACAGTAGGACAGATACGTCTAGGTAACCTCACGTACTTCGACAGTAAATTTTGCGCCGCCCATGATATGACAGGCTAGGGCGGCGGTGTTCTATCAGCAGACTTTACCTGGCTGCCGCGTTGTAGCAACGTGAATCACCGAGGATGCGACGGTCAAGTTGTCTGTCGACGGCGTCCGTTGTGCAGTGCGCCGTCATGATGGGAACCGCGGTCTACTCGAGGATATCGCCCACAGTGAAAGTGGAACGCTGCATGCTGCGTGATAGTTGTGAGGCGCGATCGATTAGTACAGGATTCAGGAAATATTGAATTACGCACTCAGTCTTCCGTTGATCCGGAGGGGACCGACGCGTCCGCCGGAGGTGGAAGGGTGTCATCGCCTTCCATCCTGAGTTGTGTCGTTAGAGTTCCTTCTGAGTGAACCATTGTGTATGCAGAAGATTGAATTGTACAGGCTACATGCATAAAACCATAACACTGGCTCCGTGGCTGAATTTGTTACGGTACGAAGTCGAAGACCGATCCAGTCGGGTCTTGCACTCCACTTGCGGGCTCAAAGATCATTTCATCGGCATCACTTTCCGAGTCGCTGTCCCAATCGCTGTCCCAATCATCATCCAAGTATTCTCCCATATTGCCCAAAAGGTCATTGTCGTAACGGGTAGTCTGCACAACGGTCCACTTGCTGTGTGTGGTTTGTCGGAGGTAGAGCATGAAGCGCGACATCATGATGGCGGCCAACCTGTTTGTGAAATACTGAGATTGGGGTCATCAGAGGAAGGACTGCATGACATACGCGACAAGGTCAGAGGTGTTGATCGTGACGTCCGTAGCCTTGAACCATAGAATTAGTCAATATTCCGACCGGCACCCATTCCGGGCAACTCACCAATGTAAGCAGGAGCAAAGAGGTGTTAAACAGTACCACCGCACTTGATAACAGTGATTAGAGTCTATATTTGCAGCGTTCGGAGGGACCTACGCGAAGTATTGGATTCCTGGAGATGTAGTCAGTTTCCCCCGTTATAGCATTTTAGCATGACATTTCGTACCGGTTCGTAACAATGCTCTCGGCAATAATGCAACGACACCAGCTGCTCGTGCGGAGGCCATCAGCCCATATGCTTTCGTCCATGTGAACACCACAACCAGGATGTCGGGCACAATGCTTATCGAGCGAGCGATGAAATATACCGCATAAGCTGTTGTGCGATGGGTCAGCGCAAGACACTCAGCGGGGGTAAAATAGACGGACTGCTTGTCCTAGATGAAACCCGACTATAAGTGAATACTGAACATGTATGACGAGTAGAGGTGCCATACCCTGCCTGCAGGCCTGCATTGCAAGTGATATAGTTACTGAGAGCCGCCTTCACAGTAAACTTCATGATAGCCTGATCGTGGTTTAGCCGATTGAGAAGACGACATAAGGAGTGATTGCCCTCTTACTATGCTGAAAACCGGAAGCACCAGCCCGGATATAATGACAAGTAGCGAGGGCCAAATGGTTCCATACCACAGCGTGTAGACTCTGGCGGCAGATAGCACTGGTACGCGGGTTCACTGATGATCGTCCAAGTTAAGGAGTTGTTGGCAAGGCTCACATGTGATCACAAGAAGACCAATGACTGCGTAAACCTCTGCACACCAAACTAAAACCGAGCATCTGAGATTGTCATTGACTGTCAATGCAAATATAATGCTTCGAACGGGGGATCGTCGCACCTCTTCCACGCCGACACACATAGATCAGCATGAAAATAGTCGAGCGTATAAAATTATAACCTTACACGCACCGCGTCTGATGGTCCCGCAAACATGGCTGACAACACGACGGCTCTGCTGATCAAGCATAGGTACCGGTTGGCAAAGAACACCGCGCTAGGGATGTCGAAGCGGTGACCCCAGTATTGTCGCACTTCCCGCGCCAACGTCAGGCCATACTCATAGAATACAGCAGCTACCGAACGGCACTTGAGGACTGGGACACGGCAGGGTGCGCCTCATGACTTACTCGTAACTGCAAGAGAGACCAAGCTTGAACTGGGTAAGTCGACACTGTGCAGCCTTGTGGGGCAATGCGACGTACTCAGCTGTACCCAGCAGTGACATCAGAAAAGAGTGGTCAAGGCTCTGCCTGACAGGAAAGCCGGCGACGATGAGGGCAAGTAGACAAGGCGCTGGCGCGGAAAGATACTTATGTTTGTTCTGCTTATGTTGCCTCGATCTCAAGATACGCGGTTGCGTGCGCACGCAATAAGCGCGTTCCTCGGCGACGTCGACCGCGACTATATGCAGCCATCAGCTCAACATGGTCGCGTACTACAAGGTCTGCCTACGGGAGACTGCCTTGAATTCCTCTTCCTGTACTCACCACGTCTGAGTTGAGTGTTACACCCGCGACGCTCATGATCACTACATATTGAATAAGCACCCAGCATGCACACGATCATTGGCAATAGCTATGATCAAGATCAGAACCACACAACAGATCCAGAAAACGCGCGCCCCGGCGCGTGAGAAATTCAAAAGTTCGCGGGAATGCGGAGAAGTCTAAGAATCGCGGTCCACACGCGTACGCCGTATCCACTGTAAAACACCGTGCACGTCCTGTTACAAGGTCGCGGCGTATTCGGCGTGTCTATCGAGAGCTGTCGAGGGTGATTAATTGATTCTTGAGGTTGTACGATGATTGACGTAGCGGGAAAGGGGAGCATCTTTGAGGGGGAGTGCGGGGCTGCGCGCCACCCACGGTGGAAGGGTACCGTCGCCTTCCATCCTGAGTTGTGTCGCCATGGAGTTCCTCTGAGAGTGAACTATGCATATTGTAGTTGCTACACGCATCAACCAATAAACAACGTTGGCTCTTCTGCAGTAAGTTACTTGATCATGGTACGAAGTCCGAGTCGGAGATTGATCTAGTCGGGTCTTGCACTCCACCTGCGGTCTCAAATATCAGTTCGTCTTCCGAGTCGTTGTCCGAGTCATCATCCAGGTATTCTCCCATATTTCCCATCAAGGAATTGCTGGAACGAGTAGTCTGCACAAGAGTCCGCTTGCTGTATATGGTTTGTCGGAGATGGAGCATGAAGCGCGACATGAGTATGGCGGCCAACCTGTTTGGGAGGTACGATATCAGAACTAATTCAATGGAAGAACTTGTCATCATACGCGACAAGATCGGACGTGTTGATCGTGACGTCCGAAGCCTAGCAGTCAAAGATACAGTCAAGAGTCTGAGCATAGCCATATTTCGAGTAATTCACCAATGTCAGGACGAGCAGAGAGACATTGAAGAACGCCACCACTCTGTACGATCCTAGTTTTGAGTCCATATACTGTGGCTGCTGAAGTAACTCACGCGAAGTACTGAATCCCTGGCAACTTGGTCAGTCTGCGCTGTTATAACCTTCGAGCAGGAGATCTCGTACCAGTACGCAACAGTGCCCTGGGTATGAACGCAACGAAACCAATTGCGTGTGCAGAGGTCATGAGCGGGTATGTCTTCACCCATGTGAACGCTGCAACCAGGATATCCGGTACGAGATTGACTGAGCGAGCAGCAAAATAGACCTTATAAGCTGTTGAGACGCGGGTCAGTGCTAGAATTTGAGACATGAAGAATGAAACCGACCAGACGTCCTAAAGGAAGGTATACACGAGTAAATGACAAGCATGTGTGTGTAACGATTGACAACTTGAAATGTCGTACCCCGCCTGCAGGCTAGAATCGCAAACGACAGGGTTGCGGAGAGCTGTCTCGACTGATGACCGCATCATGGCCTGTGTGGATTTAGACGGTCCCCGAGAAGGAAGTGAATGGCCTCTTACTATGCTGACAAAGGGAAGTACCAGCCCGAATAGAGCGACAACCAGACTGGGCCGGATATCTCCATACCATAGAGCGTAAACTCTGGCAGCAGACATCACTATGATATCTCAGTAAGGATCGTTCGAGTCAAATGGTATATTGGGAAGACTCACATGTGATCACAAGAAGAGCAGTGACTGCGTAGACACCTGAACACCAGACCAGAACCGAGCATCTAAAATCCGGCATCGACTATCAATGCATATACTGCACTTCAAATGGCAGATCGGCGCACCTCTTCCATGCATTCGCAGATATGAAACCGTCAAGCACGTGGATCAATGACTATACACACTTACCACCTCTGAAGGTTCTGCAAACATTGCAGACAACAGTACGATTCTGCTGATCAAGCACATATACCGGTTGGCGAAGAATAAGGCGCTAGGGACGTTCAAGGGCCGGCCCCAATATTGCCGCACTTCACGCGCCGATGTCAGGCCATACTCATAGAAGACAGCAGCTACCGAATGGCATCGTTGAAGCTTGGAGAGTGGACGCTGCAGGGTGTATAGGTGACTCACTCGAAACTGTGAGAGAAATTGAACTTGATAGAGGTCAATCGGCATCGTGCAATCCCTGGGGCAATGTAACGCACTCAGCATGGTTTCCCAACAGTGACATCGGAGAGGATCAAGCACAGCTCGAGATTCGGCGACTGATGAGGTCGAGGGGATGAGGTCGCTGGCGCGAAATGACGGGTCGCCTCGACCTAAGTACCCCAGCATGCGCACGATCCAACACAGCTGCGATCACTGTGAGAACAATGTGTCAAACTTTGTTACGACGTGAATGGGATGCCTTCCGTGGCGGAGTGAGTATCACCAGCGCAGCAGTTTCACCGGGCAGGAGACTTCCTCAAGATTGACAGAGGCTGTGTGCATTAGACAGCGCGGGCTCTACAAGAGGTCACAAGAGTTAAGATGTGCCACATCGTACTGCGCGAAAGGACGATCATACTTACCTATTGACCGAGTAGTCGTCGTATCGCGAAGGATACAGCCTGTCGGCAGCCGACGAGCGATCTGGTTGATCACGTCCGTGGCGCGGCGTCTTCAAAGTTGACGGGCTCATTTCTGCAGGCACCGCTGTCGACCAACCGCAGCGGTAAGCCTGACCCCATGCCCAGGATGTAATCTCTGAGAACCGTCTTGTTAGGTCGTCGTTCACGTGCGCACGCACACGAAAACGAAAATGGAGAAGCAGGAATAAACTGAACATGCGGAGAGCTTGAAGCTTTCATGACCGATGTGACTACACAACCTGTACGGTCGGAATGGGGTCGAATCAAGATGGGCGAGCGGATATGGGATACAGTTGTGAGATTCCGTAGGCGATACAGATGCAGAGCATTAATGACGACGGGTGGCAAATAGCAGTCGAAAGCAATGTGAACGTTAACGTTACTGCGGCTGGAGATCTCGACCATCGACAAGAGTTGCGACGTTTGCGGTGTCGAGGACAGCCATATCATGATTCCAGGAGAGTTGGGTCAGTCCCAGAGTGAAGTCAAGTCCCAGGGGCTCAGCGTCAACGGGCGCTGGCATAGCGACCACAACGGCGACTTGCACCGTTTGCCGAGTTGGTGTAGGTGATGGATGAGTTGGGCCAGGAGGCCAATGGAAGAATCCCAAGGCGTCGAAGTGCCACCGACGATGGCCACCTTGAGCGATGTCCTCACTTTCTGATCGGCGTATATGCGGCGTACTGTGAGATATTGATTTGGCAGATAGAGGCTGTGGATTGCAGCGGCATGCGTCTCCTCAGACACTTTGTCGAACAATGTGTCACAGCGAACTCACAAGTACGTCCTGCCAGAATGCGGACTCGATGCCTTTCGCAGGGGCGTATATGTCGTACAACTTGGGTGGCGTGCCTACGTCTTTCTTCTTCTTTCTACGAGCTCTGCTTCGCACATCATCCTCAGCGTCCGAGCCCATGGGCGACCACACGGGGCTCGGCTCCTCGTTCATCATCCAGCGCTGCGCGCGCCCAAGAGCCCGCCTGCGCAGACCAATCATGGCAAGCATCCCGCCGACGAACAGGCCGATGGCGAGGAAAGCAAGGATGAGCGCAGCGGTGCCATTTGCGGAGAAGGACGGAGCGCCGCCAGATCCCGACGAGGAGGAGGAAGAGGAGGAGGAAGAGGCAGAACTTGAAGTCGTGCTCGTCGTTGCGGATGTCGTGACCGCCGTCGACATTGCGGACCTAGTTGCGGACGGGCCAACCGCCATGGTTGTCCAGGCTAGTCCAGATTAGATGTGGTAAGTACGACATTCGCGGGATGGGAAATTGCCGGATGGCCACATCCCGTTTTGGCAAGTCTCGTTGAACGTCGGTTCATTGTCGCGTCGCCGCTCTGTCACGGTGCCTCTCATCTTCCCGTCCCGACCTCCCGTCTGTCTCGCTCCTTTTCCACAGTCGTTCCTTTCTTTTCCTATATCAGTAATAATGGTAGCGCTCTCTCTCGTACTTCTGAGCATTCTTGCTGCTCGCGGCCACGCACAGACGTATTCAGCGACGTATCTGCCGTCTAACGCGCCCGACCACACGCAGGACGGTCAGTATGGCACCAACCAATGCGGAACTCAGTCAAGCCAGGACTCTCTCTGCCAGAACGCGTACCGTGAGTGGCTTCTCATACATGACGATGAGATATGGCTGATGGGGCTGCGCTCTTAGTAAACTCGGTGGACGACTTCTGCGTCTACGCACCTCCATATTCGGGTTCAAACGCAACTATCGGGGATACAGAACGCGTTGAAGTCTCCTGGTGCTTACGGGATGGCTACGGGACGCGTTTGATTCCGGATGGCACCATCACCGGCGCGCACTTCGTCCAGACACCCGACTACATTCAGATCACCGGCGTCGGCGACCTGACGAAGCTGAACATCCCCGCGGGCGACAGTGGTGGCGAGCTGGATCCTCATGGCGCTGACGGGAACGGAAACCCTATCGGAGGTCTCGTGTTCTCGAACGCGTTCGGGCAACTCCAGCAGTTGCATGAATGGACAGTAAGAGGACGAGTGTCGTCCCTCCTTGCCACGCTGACTGGCTTCCCTTGCACACAGAACTACATGTCTTCCACGGAGTTCTGCTTCCGGGCGTGCAAACCGGGTCCGGACGCGACGACGTACTGTCAACACATCTACGACGTCATGGGCTGCGAGTGGAACATGCCTAGCGACTACGATGCTGGTGTCTTCGATCGCTGCGCGGGCGACAGCGGGGAGGTAAGAAGTCCATCATTCACTCAATCCTTCTCCGATGCAAACGTGACTCGGTAGCCCATGGGAGTGTACGGCACGTCAACCTGGAGGCAAGGCCGGTCGACGACTCCTTCAGCTCACCCGGCGCCTGCCACGTCAATGTGCACCACGTACTCGTCCGTGAACAACAGCGTTCTCATGGCGCGCAACCTCTCTGCGAACGCGACCTATGCAAGTGCGACCGCTACGAACAGCTCTGCGACGCCCACCCTGACGCCGGTGACGAACTCGACGCAAGTATCCGCAACGCCGGTATGTCTTTGTTCGCCTCTAAAACCGTTGCTCCCGGACTTAGCGTTTGCTGGCATAGCTACCCACCGCAACACACATGACCATCCCGGCGAGCAGCACCCCAAGCGCGACTGGCTACTCGAGGAAAGCAAGTGGGACTATCGGCCGTGCTCACGTCGACGCTCTCTGGCAACTGCTCGTGGTCCTCGTGGCTGCTCTCGTCGGCATGTCGTTCTGCTTCTGAGCTGGCTCGGGCTGGGACTTGGAATAGATCGGCTGGAGGCTCTGGACTGGACTCACTACTTAGCGCTGGCGCTGGCTTCACGGGCTCTATCTGGGCAAGATGTCGATGAACAACCTACGACCACAACCCGCACTGCTCGGGACATACTACGAAGAACAGGACTCACGGTGGACACGAGGGCATTGACATGACTATAAGCATGCATAGGAATGTTCTTGACTGTACACTCATAACTCGTTACGGGACGCACTGCGCTGCATGATCATCGTTGTATACATTGCTATTCCTCGATATCTGCTCATAGTCTCGTGCACCTTGTGAACGCGGGACAGTGTGAAGGGAAGTATTGATACAAAGCAAGCAACTACGGGTTCCTTGTGTTCCTTCATGACCTATGGATACAGATACTTGCCTTAAGCTTCGAGAGGCAGGATGTCGGGGATTGGCCCGACAGGGATGACTCTGTGCGGGTTGATCTGCGCATCCACGTCGTCAGCACACGCTTCGCCGGAGAGGACACCCAGCCACTCACCATTGGGTGGGACCAGTAATAATGTGTCTTTATATGCTCGAAGTTGCACGTCTCCTTGAACGCGGGGAAGTTCCAGTACAGCTTGCGGAGCCAGAGGTGGATGGCGGGATAGCCGCCGCGGATCGTGCGGATGTTGCACTTGAAGTGCCCGACGTAGACGGGATCGAAGCGGACGATGGTGACGAAGAGCCGGATGTCGGCCTCCGTGAGCTGGTCGCCGATGAGGTAGTCCTTGCCCTGGAGCATCTTCTCGAGCCGGTCGAGCGAGGCGAAGAGGGGGAGGACGGCCTTTTCATAGGCGGCTTGCGAACTCGCGAAGCCGGACTTGTATACGCCGTCTGCGCACCCTGCCGTTAGTCATCTTTGTCTCGCATACACGCGTGGTCTACGCACTGTTCACGGTGTCATACACCCAGTCGTTCACCTCGTCGATCTCCTTCCTCAGCCCTCGGGGTAGAAATCCAGCTTCGCCTTCTCCTCGGGCAAGAGGTGGTTGAACGACGCGTTGAATATCCGGATGATCTCCGAGCTCTCGTTGTTCACGACGGTGCTGTGCTTCTTGTCCCACAGCACGGGCACGGTGAAGCGGCCCTCGTAGTTGGGCGCCGCGCGAAGGTAGAGATCCTTGACGTGCTGTGCGCCGTGCAACGGATCCGCGTCCGCGCCCGGGAAGGTGTCCGCGCTCGCGAAGGGCCAGCCGTGCTCGCCCATGTGCGGGGAGACGACGCTGACGTCGATGAAGTCCTCGAGCCCCTTGAGCTTGCGCATGATCAAGGCGCGCGTCGCCCATGCTGGATATAGGTCGAGTTAGTAGGGCGCGTCGCACAGTCTGCGGCACGACTCACGGCATGCGTAGGATACGTAGAGGTGGTACCGGCCTGCACTGCACGTCAGTGATACATCCCTGGCGCGATGGACGAGCTGTCTCGCTCACCCTTCTCGGGCTCGAACTTCCCGCCCTTCTCGAGCCAGTCCCTGAACTGGGACGGCTTGCGCTTGAACGTGCCGTCGTCCTCCGTCTTCATCTTGCCGATGTCGGTGTGGTGCGAGACGTCTCTAGTGGTCATGTTGTATCGCGGTACGTACGCGTGAGTCGGTGCAGATGCTCGATAGGCTGAGCGTAGGCCTGGTCTGGAGGAGCGGAGGGCGCGAGAGGTAAGGGGGAGAAGGCGAGCGAGGGGTACTGAGGTCATGCTTCTGCGAACCGCTCGTCTTTATCAGGTCCGGCGTTGGGTCCGAGGGCGAACGCCTAACCAACTATACGTAGAGGATTGGTGATAGACATTGCAAAGAGACGGGTAGGACTTTATAGTGTGACGACCGGTTGACGAGGCTTGCCTTGGAGCGTTGGATGGAGTACCTGGAGGCTGAGAGTGGGTTTCCGTTCCCTGGTTGCTGACTGGGCCCGGCGTTGGGCCCATCTGCAGACGTCCAATAGTGTCGTAACAGAAAGAACATAACGGGATTGAGTAGCTCATCGCGCCACGTAGTCAGGCCCATCCAGCTGCGCAGCCCGACGAACTAAGGCAAAGTGTCTCATACATATACAATGGCTTCACGGCCGTGCTAAGTCGCCGACTGCCAGAAGCCCGAACGAAGGTTTGGATGAGATCAAATGTGCCTCCGAAGTCCATTACAGCATTATGAATGAGAGATATGACCATGAAGCCCTTGAAGATTACGATGAGCACAACCTGAACCTGAACCCAACTTCAGCTGCCCGCCATCCCCGTTACACCAACACGATCACGGATCTTCGCGATCTCGGAGACACTGAGAGAGCCCTTGCTTGCGCAGAAGAAGTCCTCCCAAGCCTGCGCCGCGTCGCTGCCGTTGGGAAACTCAACCCTGGATGGACTTTGTGAGTACGGCATGATGAACAAACGAAACACGAGGTGCTCACTTCAAGAAGGCATACAGATGCTCCCAAAACGCAGGCTGCGCAACGGTCGTGTGGTAGGGCGTGTTCGACGCGCCAGACTGGGAAAGCTCGGGTATGTTGGACGTGTCCAACACGAGGGGTATGTCGATCAACACCTCCCCTGGAGACGGCGATAGCGACGGGGAAGGAGAGAGGACAATGGACGGCGTGCGCCCGTGCCCTCCACGGGTTCGTGAAGGCTGCTCCGGAAGCAACGTGATGGACCCTGCTCTCGCCTTCTGTGGCGTCGGTGCAGTGACGGGTGCGAGCGACGTAGACATCTTGGATGGGTCCCAGTCGAAGCCGGGCTTGACCATAAGCGTGACGGTGTCTCCTTCCTTAATGCTGTATTCCTGCAGAAGCTTGCTGTCCGCGAGAGCCTTGCCTTTGAGCAGCAGTCTCTGTGCGTCGGCGGGCGGTGCGCCTGGTTCTGACGCGAGCTGCGCCTTGATGTCAGAGACGGGGTCGGTGGGCTGTACGGAGAGAGAGTAGCTCTTTGGAGGCTTGATAGACTTGAAGGTGATGCTCAGGGAGCCTGTGCGCGGGCTCGTACTTATAACAGCTGCGGGAGTGGGGCAGGGGAGCTCACCTGTGGGCGCAACCTGTGTCACCTTGCGTTCGGGAGGAGGAGGCAGGTCTACCTAAGCGAGGCGGCGCGCGATTGGCCTACAGGCTAAATGATGATCAAGAATTTCACATACCGGTAGCACCGGGACCTTCCTTAGAGACCTCTCGGATGGTTGCTGGAAGTCGTCTGCGTACGTGACGGGCTGCGACGAGAGGTTGTTGACGAACGTCTTCACAAACGCCAGTTCTGCTTGCTCGCTCATTGTGATGAGCCTGGTTAAACGGTGATTATACTGAGATGTTCAGACTGGATGCGCTCGAGGAGTAGAAAGACAGATCAGCGAAGGAAACACAGCTTTAAGGGGACTTTCAATTGCAACTGCGACTTGGCGACTGCACAGGCCGCGATCCGCCTCTGCGGGGCGGTAGGCGGAGTGTGACGTGCGCGTGTCGTCACAGTCACCAGCCCGTCACGCCGGAAAGCCCGGGTGACTGCAAGCGACCTCTCAGCATCGCTCACGACATACCAGGATGGCGGTAAGTGCTCGATATACATTGTTTGAATCTTTACTGAACGTGTTTGCTAGTCTGGCTTTGGTTTCAACGGAGGTATGGCCAGACACTACCGATTTGCGTTCTACCATAACCCATGGACTTGTTAGGCGTACCACGTTGTTTCCCGTACTGGCAGGAGTTCCAGAAGGTGCGTAGTTACTCTGTCATGTTCGTGCGCCCCCTCTAAACACAGCATCCTTGCCAGTGCTATGCTCAGACAGATGTGCCAGCCAAGTGCCGGCCGCCGCTAGACGACTACGTAGAGTGCTTGCACCATACGAACGAGGCACGTCATTCCATCTCCCCACCTTCACTCTCACCTCATCCAACCCATGTCTTGCTTGACACACGCAGATTGCTCGCGCGAAGACCATCAAGGCCGAGTTCATCCGCAAGGCCGAGCACGAGGCGACGGAAGGTCGGAAAGCGGCAGACATTATCGCGGATGGAGCCATCGTTGGTGTGGGTTTGATCAAGCGAAGTCAGGAGGAAGGAGAGTCAAAGTAGTCCCCCGGGCAGCTCAATACATTGCTTTGGACATCTGAGCCCCTTGTCCATTGCGGATTGTTGTGTGCCGACGGTACCCAGGTTCATGCATTTCCGATTCAGACCTGAGTTCTTACAAGAGCAAACTTGCGCAAGGATGCGCTATTTCACCTATGGGCGGAACTGTATGTGTGAGTGCATAGATTCGTCAGTACGCTGTAAATACAATTTCTCAGTTAGCCCAGTAGTTTCTCTGCAATCGCTGGGTTGGACGTTGATGCAGTCATAACAGACTCTGACCTAGATTATACCTGATATGGAAGAATGATCGGACCTGGTCGGAGTTGCAACTATCTCGATCCGCATCGCGAACGTCGCTCGCTCTCGAATTTGAGTCTTGTCTCTCGACAGTGACCGCCCTTCCTCCCACTCATCTCTCTCGCTGTGTCTTGGGTACAGAAATGGCGGCAAATGGTAACGGATCGCTCAGCTCGCCCATTGTCATCTCAGACGACGAGGACGCCGCATTCGTGGAACAGGAACTGGGAGGGTTTGAAGCAAGACTGTCCGACCCCGAGCCGGCCTTCGAACGTCAAATGGTCGACGTGCCCATGTATGACTGGGGACAGCAGGCCCATGCATCGTCGAGCAGAATGCTGATGCAGAATAATTCCAGTAATGGTGGGTCGTTCCATCTCTTTCAAGATAATTTGAGGGTGATGTCCCCTAGCCATGCAAGCGCCCGCGCCTTTAGCTGGCCAGAAACGCAAGCGAAAACAGTATGCGCAGGACGCGGTCCCTAATGAACAGCAGGAGACAAAATCTCAGCGAAAGAAGAGGCGACGGGCAGAGCGGTTGGCGGCTAAGGGGGCGGAACTGGCCACGGAGCAGGACGTGGACATGCAGGACGCCTCCCCTGCTGCCTCTCGTATGCCTGCTAGGATGGCCCCTCTCCCTGACCGTCCGGTTGGTACCTATCGTGACGCCCAACACAGCGGAATCCTGCCTCCTATGTCGTGGTCTGCCTCTTTCTCCGCACATACAGCCGTCATGCCTCAATCCTTTATCCCCTCGCTACCTCTCAAACCACCTCCCTCCATGTCACCCGTCGCGCCACCTCCCCCGGACTCTTTTTCTCCGTTCTCCGCTCCAGCGTATATCCCACATACACCTGAGCGTCGCCAGCAACCTCCTCACATACCCGTTCCCGCGCCTGCTCCCCATATTCCTCTTCCAAAGCCTCTCCCCCCAGCACCCGATGCCACCAGCACCACCCAAATCTCCGTCCCCCAGAAGAAATTGCTCGGAATGCCGCGGGAGTCTGACAGGAGCGGGCTTGGCTTGTTCCCCTCCGAGCTCTTACGCCAGCCACTGCCAGATCCCTCACGCACCCTCGTCCTTGCCCCCATCCCCAAGAAGTTCCGCAACCCCGACTTCCTCAGGCACTGGGCGAAGCGGTTCGCTCGCCCGCTGCCGCTTCGCGCCGAAGTGGACAAGGCCGGCAAGGCGCTCGTAGAGTTTCAGAGCGTTGCGCTGGCGGAGATGGCGTTCGGCAGCCAGCGAATGGCGGGCGAGGGCAAGGAGCACATCCGCGCGTGGTGGTACCGCGGAGCGGCGAAAAACCCGGCAGACTTGGAAGAGGGGGAGATCGAGGAGGGCGTCGTGGAAGCGCCAGTGGCTCCTCAGGCGGCGAACAAGAAGATGAGCAAGAAGGACAAGAAGGCGGAGAAGAGGAAAGCTCAGGCCCTCCAGCCGAAACAAAACAAGCCAAGGGCGCCGCCCGCTCTTCCTAAACTGCCTCCCGCGAATGGATCCCGCGCTTTTCCCAACTATAATCGACAACAATCTGTTGCTAGCACGTATTCTGGGGTCCCAATGTCCGTGCCCCTACCTCTACCTCAGCCTCCTCCTATCGCTTCATCGTCCGGTCCGTCGAACTACGTTCCCAAGACTTCACCACCAGCACAGCCGCCTCAACCTGCAGCGCAACCGCCTTCGAGTCCATACGGTTATCGTGGCTGGGCCGACCATCTAGAGCAAGTAGAAAAGTACGGGGTCATGTCATCTGACGATGGTTCCGAATACGAGGGGCCCAGTGCCGAGGCGGAGCGCAGTTGGTACTATTCCGCGGGTCCGAGACGCAGGGACCCGAGCTACCTTGAAGAAGAGCAGGCGATGGACCTCGAATCTGACGACGAGGACTTGCCCGATCCTAAGGAGGAACACTTCATCCAGGAGTCACGATATGGTGTTTGGGGCGAGCCGGCGACGGGTGCGGATGTCACTGCGGCTGATAGCGCATCAATTGCCTCTTCCAGGGAGGCCTCTGCCGAACGTGGGCAAGAAGAGAGGATGCGCGTCGACGACGCTAGCCCAGCAACCACCCGCACTCCTCCAGCAACCGAACACGCGGTCACGGTGCCACAATCATTGCCATCGTCTAGCCGACCTAAACCGGAGGTCACCATTCCCGACTTGCCAGTCCAGACGAGCCGACCCCAGCCACTCTCGCCATCTGCATACACTATGGTGGAGCCTCCGGCTGCATCGGTGCCTGCTAGTGCGTTGACGATCGTCCCAACCGCCCCATCAACATCCGCCACAGAACCGACACATCCGATTGCTGTTGCTTCTCCTTCCACTCTTACGAGTCCAGTCTCGGCCCTGAAACCTCTACCGGCTGCTCCTCTGTTACATCTCTGAAGGATCCTTCGCTGGAACTGCCGAAGGTCCCCCTGCCACAGCCAGTCGTCTCCCAAAGGTCGGAGTCGGCCGCACCAGCTCTCGCAGAGTCTGTGCCGGTGGTGAGTGCCAAGCGTACACTGCAGGAGAAGCAGAGGGAGCTTGAGGAGCGAATCGCCCGCGCGAAGGAGGAATTAGCGCAGAAGAACATGATATCGAGGGCTGGCAGCAGTAGGCATACGTCACCGGAGGAGGAGAATGACAAGCCGGCGGCCACGAGCAGCCGTGCTGGCGAGGAAGCAATCTCCAGCCCGACGGAGATACTCTCGACCCAAGAGTTGCGCCGCTCGGCTCTGCAGAGCAGGAAGAAAGCCGGGATCGCGTCTATCCCTTCTGCAGGGATTACGCAGGAGAAGGAATCCACAGTGGCCTTGAGCGACACGTCCACAGTCGTGGGTGACGACGCACCTAGCGCTGCCGCAGTTCCGAAAGGCAGCGCTATCAACTTCGACGAGCTTGCGGTTTCATTTATCACTGAGACGCTCCAGACGATGCAGCCATCGCCTCGGTCCGACTCACCTCCCGCGGCTGCAGCGCCTGTACATGTGTCGCAACCTGCGCCTCCGACCGCACCCGCAACGCCACAACCACGTACGTTTACGCAGTCTCATACGCTAGCCAAGTCCAGTCAAGCAGCAGAGAAAGTGCTCTTGGCCGCAAGACAGAAACGACTGGAGCAGCACATCGCGGAGACGAAGGTGCTCATGGCGAAGCTTACCACGGCACGGTCGAAGGCGGAGAAGGAGAACATTCTCGGCATGCTGCGAGAGCGGCAACGGTAAGCCGCCCATTCACGCCCCTCTCCTGCGGACATCGCTGAGTGTTTCACAGCGCGATGGACGGGGACATGAAGGCAGATGCGCCGTTGAAGCCTGTGTCGTCTTCGCCCCCTTCATCGTTCGCCACGAACGGATATAGCCAACCTTTCAAGTCGCAAGCGACGCACGCGTGGAAGACTCACTGGCCTGAGCCCAGCAGAGACGCTATGATACTTGTCATCAGCGACGATGAAGATGACGACTGAGTCGACGGGACAACCGGTAGGTATTAGCATTGGGTTTTTCTC